AGATTTCTTTTATCCTCTTTCCAGTTGTACAAACACACCACCGCCACCCCCGGCAATATTGCATTGTAAATTACCCTCCTTTTAAAAGCCCTCTCCCCTTAGTGCTTTTCATTCAAGAGATGGGAGACAGCCCTGGGCTTGCTGTCTTCAGATCAAATACAAGCTGCAGACTGAGTATTCACCTGAATTATATGAACTTCTGCCGTCGCTATTTACTTGTTGTGATACATTTCCTTTTCTTGATTGACTAAGCTCTGAGAGGACACATCTGCTTCAGCATTGCCCCCTCAAGGCAGTCCTTCAGCCCTCTGTCACATCTTTTTCTCCCACCTTTTCCTTGTCTGATCCTCTATGGTCTGCTACAGTTTTTTATCATGTGTTCATGATCTGTGTTACACGGGGGAGTCCTGGGATAGGGAGTGTGTTGTGGTGATTGCCCGTGAAGGGCTCCTATCATGCAATGGATGTGAGAAATATTTAGGGAGACAGAGTGCTGCAGTCTATTCTAAGTAGTTATGTAGTGCCTCTCTATAGCATCCTATGATGCTCCAAGGTCTGATTGAGCAGTTTGTCTCTTGACTTCAACGGTGTTCATTCAGCATCTTGGATACCAGGTCCAGGCCAGTTTGGTCTCTGGATACTAATGTGCCAAAGTCCTTTAACATCTTAAATCTATATGTGTATATGTTGGACACTGCAACAGGCTGCCCAGAGGGGTGGTGGAGTCACCTTCCCGGGAGGTGGTTAAGAATCGTGAAGATGTGGTACTTATGGACATGGTTTAGTAGGCAATGTTGGTGATAGGTGAATGGTCAGACTAGGTGATCTTAGAGGTCTTTTCCAATCTTAACAATTCTATGGTTCAGTGTTCAGGGCTATTTAGTTAGAAATTGAACAGGACCGTAATTTGTGGTTAAAATAAATACAAAGCAATTTATTAGAACACATTCTTAGAGCCACAGCCTCTGCAAGACATTTTCCTCCACTATACTATCCAAGTACTGGAGGTGTTTACTGTATGGTTTACTACGTGTCATCCAAAACCCCTCCATAAACAGCTGTTGATTTGCACATAGGAACCATGCAAGGGAGAAAGAAGAGCGGGAGCCTTAGGCTGAGGCTTTGATCAGGGCCCTGGGAGAGCAGCGTGCCCCCACAGCCCAGCAGACCTCATGCCATTGCCACATCCCATGCCCTGCAGTCCTCGCCCAGCGGTGCTGCTATCTGCCACTGTGTTCTGCTCCCCGGCCTCTCTGGCCCTTTGAAGATTCCCCATTGTTTGGGCTATTAACATACTTTCGGGGTGGATGTTTATCTTTTTTGAAACTTTTACAGCAGGCGCACTGTTAAACCAAGCTCGTGGAAGCCCCTTGCAGGCAAGCACCACCAGCGCCCTTCAGTGAGCGCAGTGCAGCTCTTCCCTTTATTTGATCAGCTTCTAATACCTAACAGTTCTGTAAGTAAACATTTATAGATCAAATCAAAAGCTCGTAGAAGGAAGCACTCTCGATAGATTAGAAGCTAAACTGATCTAAATTAGAAGAGATGCAGAGATAACCTTGCCTGGCTAAAAAGCATATACTATCGGTTGCACGCAGATAATTAAATGAATGAGCCCTTTTCTATTGAACAACTGATGTGCAATTGATAAACTTAATTAATAATTAACTTTTTAATTAAATATCAATTTAAAACAAGTGTGGTAATGTGCCGCTTGCATTTAATTTTGCTGCCTTTTCTTCAAGAAAGAAGCGTCATTAGGGTTACAGGTATCTGTTTAAGATGCCTCTGTGCACTGCGCAGGGAATAAATGTGTCCGCTGGGCACTTGCCAGTGAGAAGATGGCTGTAAACAACAGCACCCAGAGACAAAGCCAGCATGCAACTTCTGAGAGGCAGCAGGAACTGCAGATAAAAGGCATGTACATCTCCATCTGTAACTTTCTCAGCAGCAGAAGGCCTACCTGTTCTATGCCCTTGTTTGCGTAAGAAAGGCTACAGTGAGTATAGAGGAGCTGAGTCTCTGTAGCAGCCCTTTGGGAAGAAGGTCCTTCTCCGGCTTTATGAATGGAGTGGCTTGGTGAAAGCAAGGCTAAATATCCAGAACCACCAGATATTACCTTGTTTAGGAAAACAATCCCTAATAAGCATGGGAAAGCTGCAATCTTTTTCCACGTGTCTTCTCACGTGATACCTTAGTGCAATTCCTATTAGTGCTAATGGGGTAATTGGCTCCCTTCAATGTGAACTCCCTATAATGCATCCACATAACTTGATTTGAGAGTGTAAATCCCATTAGCCTGAATGGCGATCTTCTCTGCCTCTCATTTACCCATTTGATCCTGCAAGCACTAACAGCCGATCGTCTCCCTTTGCCCTTTGAAAGCGATAAATACTCATCCAACTTCCACTAAATGGCTCTCAGACACCTTCCAGATCGTTCCTTCCACTGTCCTGCATACAGCAAGGAGCAAGGCAATGCGCAGAAGGCAGGAAATTGGGTTTGCAAACTGGGGAAAAAAAGGTGAAAGGCTGCAAGAAATATTTCCACCAACCCTACGCCCGCTAGCAACAGGGAAATATTTGAGCGCCTCGATGAGGATGTAAGAAAATCTTTCCACTGCAGTGAAGGAGGATCTGGGTGAAGATTAAGGGTTGCTATTTTTTTTTTTCTGTTAATGACTTGATTTGTTTCCAACTGAAAGAAGTTGGATAGAGGATAAGCCAATGGGCCCTACACTGTCTGTCTGCAATGTGGGGCTTGAAGCCAATTGGAAATGACTCTTCTGAAGGTACCATCTTGGACACAGCACCAGACACCTATCCGGTCGGAATACACCGCCAATGAAAGGATGATTTCTTTTCCTGCTTTGCCTCATAAGAGGATATTCTTGCTTCTCCACATGTGAAGGGAAGATGGGTCCCTCCCATGGGGAATGTTACTGCTGGCCACCACTTCCTTTCTGAAAGCCCCATTTGAAAAGGAGGAAATAGTTGGTGGAGGAAGTTCCTGAAAAGGAATCTTTCAAATCCTTATTTTTGTCAGGTTTTTTTTCTTTCAGGGGACACCCAATACGATGGAAATAATTGGCGTGGCTGCCTCAAGTGATGGAAAAATTACAGAAAACTGCAAGGGGTGTGACAGCAAGAAAACCGGCTTCTTCTCCATTTATTGTACAATATTTATCATCAACCCGTTTTGTATATTTTGCTTTCTTTTGTGTAATCTTATCATCACTGGGGTTGAAAACGATGTGATTTTTCTCCTTTGAGTAGTTGCCAAAAAAGCACTTACGTCGGAGTATTAGTGTATCATTTGGCTAGCACATCACATAATGGTTTTTTTACAGCAAGTATTTAACCATGTTTTCATCCTGTGGGAAAGAATGATGGGTCTGTTTTGTAAAAATAAGACCTTGTGGCAATGTGGACATGCAAGAGATAGAAACATAATGCAACAAATTAGTTTCAACACACAGAAATGAGGTAGTCCAGGCTCCATATACATTCAGCAGCGCTGGTTTTTCTCTCTCTCCTTTGTCTCTACTTTTGTCTCTTATTTTGAAATGCGTTGCCTGATCTTATGGGAAAACTTTGCAAGCAGAACCTATTAGAATTCAACCAGCCACCTACCTGGTTTGGGTAGGCAAGCGTATGTTCTTTGCATACGTGTAGGTAAAACAGTGTTTATGAGAACACGTGAGAAAGGGAATGGTAAGGAGTGCCGTGCAGATATGATCAAATTCATCCATTCTGTGTGATTCGATGCAAGCTCATGGTGTTGCATCAAGAAGCAAATTAGCTTTATTACAAACTGAGAAGATGCTTTGGTTTTTAGCAACAGTGAAATATGAGAAATTTGATCATTCTAATGTCATCACAGAAAATGGAGACCTGAAGCAAAAAATAATTTGTCTTTAGGTACTTCAGAAATAATCAAATGTTTGTCATTATAGTTTCAAGTGATCCCATCAACTCTTTTCCAAATAGCAGCTAAGTGAATCTCTATTATAACCTGAAACCCACCATTAACTTGAAAACCATTCGTGCTGTGATCCACATCTTTCCAATCTGTGTGTTTTATAACCTGCCCAGTGTAACAGTTGTGCTCACCTCCATCGAGATGGGGAAAAGTATGTTTAGAAATGGCAGATCTTTATTCTTTTTAGTAAAATATCCCAGTGAGCTGTGACTTTCTTTTCCTTCATATGTAAAAATTCATCATTCTCTCTGTTTTCATGAAGTGACTGTATAATCTGTTTGATGTCCACCTTCCCTCTTCCTACCAGCTGCTTATCCTTTTCTGCAGTTACATGCACATTCGTATTTTGTCATGTCTGAATTCAGACCTGCAGTCTGGAAATGCCATGTACGTGCCTAAATGTACTTATGTGAGAAGTGGATTTAAGCATATGGCTACATGATTTCTATGTTTAAAAAAAAATGCCATTCAGTAAATTTATTAGGGCTTTATAATGAGTTATCATCAGTAGTTGCACTAAAATACAACTCGGAAAAAAAAATCCATTGCAAAGGCCTTGTGGCAGAGTGGGCTTTTTGTGTGTCTTTTATTCGCTTGCTAATTTACAACATTCCATAATTCTGGCCCTTCTAAAAACATCTACGAATTGTTCTCCGAAAGCCTTTCATCCCAGAAGGTGCTGGGCAGGCACAGAGCCTGATGTGAGGCAGGGTGCTTGGATCCTGCCCTTCGGGTGTGCAGTCACTCCTTTGAACCATCGGGTTTTATGGTAGCAGGAGCATACCTAGGGAGGGTTTCACTAGGCTGCTTTAGTAGCTCGGGACAGGGACTGTCCTGTTTTGAAAAACAGGAAAGCCCCTGTTGCATAATGCTGCCCTGTTGTACTACTATAACAAGTCATTGGAAAATAGAGGTGGGAGAAGGAGATGAAGGCTGTCCCGTTGTGTACAGTCCTGCTGAGGAGGATGCACCCGGTGGCACAGCAGAATTTTTCTAACCAGTCTGCTCTCCTAACCAGGTTTGCTCTCATTGCAAGTAGAGCTTCACCTTTCTTGTGCTGTAGCAAGAGTGATTAAAGGCAGCTGAGAGAAGGTGAGTCAACAGTGACTAAAGACCATGCATAAATTCCTAACGAATGGCTAGCAGGGGAGATAAACAGCAGAAACATGAAGCAGCCTTAGTATACCTTACTCAACGCTTTATCTTCATGGAAACGTCACCACTGTGTTACATCATTTCCTCTCCAGATATGGCAGTGGAAGTGCAAGACCTTCCCATAATGGGGCATAAGGTGATTGGGATGTTTTTCATGGCTGCCTGGGGAGTGCCATCAGCCATAACAGAGCAAGTACTTGGGGCAAGGAGAAGAGCTAATAAATGACCTTTGCAATAGTGTGATCAAGTCAAGCCCACCAAAAAATGATAGGTGAGGCAAGAGTTTGCTCAGGAGCTGTGTCCTTCCCGCAGGGCATAACCGGGCAGTCAGCTAGATAGGAACAAACTTGCAACACTGGATTTTTTTGGAGGGCTTGTGTTATCCTTGATAAAAATCTCTTTGGTATTTGGGGCAGAATGGCTCTGCTGGATGCTCCATCCAGCTCTTTCCTATTACCTTTACAAGTATTTTCATTTCCAATCTGCCAAAATCATGGTGTTTACTAATCCTTGCTTCAAATAAAATGCTCTGGTCTAAATGCATCTCCTTGAACTTGGGGGTGTCCTTCTCTTCTGCAGGGTCGGATCCTGCACAAACACACATGGCACAAATTCAGCAGTGAGCGTTGCCGCAGGGCTGCACACATCCATCATTCTTTGTAAAAGACTCTGAGGTAGATGTCTTGTGCAGAAAAAAAAAAAAGTTTAAATAAAACTTAAGCTTCTAGAAAATCTTTTTATTTTTCTTGGAGAAAGAATATCTCCCCTCCCGAGATGAATTCTAAGTAATTTTTGGGAAATATGTTTTTTTGCAAGGTCTTACAATGTGACAGCAACCAAAGGATTACACAGAGCCTTATGTCAAAATCAGAAATTTAACAGAAAGATTTGTTTTCTTGTTTAATGTGACTTTGAGCTTAAAGATTTGAATGTTCCATTTCTCGTATTTTTTTTTTTTTCCCCTTAAAAAGTTTATCTTACTGTCTGAAATATTTTGCGAACCTTGCTTCTTTACTGCTGTGGAGGGGATCTTTCAGGTAAGTTCTTGTTTCTTGTATTTTCAATTTTACAGTTATGGGGATGTAAGAGATGTAACATGCATTTTCATGGAATAACCATCTGACATGAACTTATGGTAAATGTGTTTGCTCTGCCTGTTTCCTGTTTGTATTGACTTTCCATGAATTTCCTGGCACACATACAGATGAGTATATATGGGAATACGGCTGGCAACAGATACGTGCAACTAATGGTAGAAAATGGTTGGGGTAGGGGTCAGTTTCAAGCTTTCTTTAGTGCCTTTCTCTAAAATTTTGATCGACTAACAAGGTGTACACAGTCATCTGACAGGTACACTCACTTAAAGCTAGATGAAAGATGTAATTTCTGTTTTTCAGATGACAAATGCTGCAATGAGTGATGCCAGTAACAAAAATTAGTTGCAGAAAATTAAAAAAAAAAAAAAAAAAAAAAAAAAAAAGATTTCCAAAGCCATTGCAAAGTCCTTACTAGCTGTTTGGAGGGTGAAAACAAAATTCATTAACTAAATAATTTGATCCAAATGATTAGTCCGGTTGTTGGTGGGGCTAACAGGATGTCTGGGCTTGTCTAGCAGTTTGGTTAGAGTTATAGAGATGAGGAATGTGATGCAGAAATACTTTTTTTTTTTAGAAAGCTGCTCTTTTCTTGGCTGGGAAGGAAGCGCTAGTGCTGTATCATGAGACCTTTCCCAGTCCAGACTTCGAATGGAACCATTCAGTTAGAAGAAAATGGTACTAATAAGGAGGTGGGCCAATGCGTCTTGGTGTTGTTCCCATCACTGGAATACTGAGGCACAAAATTGGAACGCTACTTGTAGGAATGGTTGAGGAGCATTTCCATGTAGCTTGCATAAACTGTGTTCATCTTTGGCCCCACTCTATAACGTGGAAATCAGAGTGGTTTTGGAATATGCATTTGGAAAACCAGGTGCAGCATGGATCCAGTTTTTGTTTAATCCAAATGAGTGGATCTTAGAGAGTATGGATTTAACAAAAATGGGTTTGGCCAACAATGAGAGCAGTCCAGTAAATTCCACCAGTACCAACAAACGTCCCCAGCCTTACATACAGTTCAGAACCATCTCCAAACTCAGGGACCCCCTTGGCTATGGGTTTTATGTGTCACAAAGGCTGGCTCTGACAAACATTTTTAGAATCACCATCTGTCAGCTTTTCCTTCAGGGATCCCCATTTACAATAGCTTGTATCCAGGCCATGTGCAAATCCCACTGGGCTGAAACTTGGCCCCATACTTGGTTGGCCTGGATGCAATTAACAAACACAAAATTTATTCAATTTAGTTTGGCCAAAAATATAAGATTCTTTTGTTTGCAGATGCTGAAGTTGAGATGCCTTTCCAAACTTATCAAGGACAAGGGAACCGTTTCGGAGTAAGTAACAGCCAACCCCAAAGTCATCCTAAAATTCAAGTTGAACTGCAAACCTAAGCACCAAATCATTTGTGAAGCTCAGAAGTTGAGTCCATTTTTTTTATTTCTTTAATTTTCATTGCTGTCTCTGAAATTCATTGTTCTGGTTGGGCTCTAGACAGAAACATTGGAAGAGGACACCCAGCACTCACAACATCCAGCAGGAGCAGCAGGAAGCATCAGATATTGTCGGGGAATTCTTCAGTTCCAGAAGTTTTGAAGAAACGTCTGATCCAAATTCTGGAGTGGAGGTTAGAACTCACATTGGCAGCACCTCTAAATAGCTTCGGTCTGGAGATCTTGTAAGATCAGGATCTGTCCCTCTTGATTGTCCATCCAAGCCTTCCATTTTTCAGGTCTTATCTGTCCAACTTGAGCATGATAAACCTTATGGTGCCTGATTAATCTGTCTCAGAAAGATGAAGGGCTGAGTCAATCCTTTTGCATTCACATCTTTGCCTCCCAGCTCCCACAAAAGCACCAGACCACTTAATTTATTCCCATTAACTGTGCCGGTACTCTGTGATTATAAAACAAAATTCACGTCCAGGACATGGGCTTTCTTTGAGCACTTTTAACCCTTCACCACCCATCTATCACAGTGAGTTCTGGAGTCATAGAATCATCAAAGTTGGAAAAGACCTCTAAGATCATCCAATCCAACTGTCCGTCTTCCACCTATATTGCTCACTAAACCGTGTCCCAAACCATTAGCCCTGATCCAGGGATGTGCCATGCCTCTACCTGAGTTGAGCAGTGGGATGAGAAGATAAAGGTGAGATCCTCTGCACATACCTAGCAGCAAGGAGGCCTGAGGCCAATGGTTAATGCAGTGCAGGAAGGAGTTCACATAGGCATTGATCAACGTGGTATAAAATACTTGCAGATGTTGCCTCCCCCAGATTACTTTACTCTGAGAACTAGCACTAGAACATAATATATTTTCTTTTTTACTAATTAAGGGGGAGCTGCCTCCAACTCCTCTAACAGTGTGAAGACCCAGAGGTGCTGGTGATGCTGGGTCACCCCTTCTCCATGTCTCTCAGCCATCCCTGCTGCTGGTGGATAGGAGCTGATGGGGTGCAATGAAGCCACCAGCACCCTCCATTGCTGCAGGTTAGTTAGTATGCTGGGGCTGTGCGGTTCCTCTGCCATCTTCATTCACCTTAGAAATGTGGAGTTTGAATGGTTTATCTCTATTAATCACCAGCTCAAAAAGCTTTGTGCACCAAGGGCCACAGATAATTAACTTCACTATACTGCTTGTCTTATCAGTATCAACCTCTTGTCCTCCTGTGAAATAGTTAAAACCATCAGCCCCTTTTTACTTTTCCATTTAACTCTAATGCTTTAACACTGATGTTCTAAATGGCCCTGCGATTCATACTTATTAGACAAACCTTTCTTTCTGCATCTCTTATATTTTTTGATAATTGGCCATGTACGTTTCTAAGGGGCTCAACAGCTTTTCATGCCACTATACTAATAATTAAAGGTTTCTCACAGTCTTTCAGATTTCTCTTTACCTTCTCTTCTTTGATAAGTATAATTTGCTGTTTAATTTAGGGGCGGGGTGGGGGTGAGGAAAAGTAGTGAGAGGCTGGCTGAATAGGAAAATATTTTGTTTAACAAAATTTGCTAATTTTAAACAAATCTCCATTGCTTCCTCATTTTTATCACTCCTCTTGCTGAAGACACCCTCCCTCCTGCACTGCAAAGAGAGAAGTGGGGAGGCAGGAGATGAGGGCTGTTCTTGCTGTTCTGCTTGGTTTAGCCCTTTGCTGTGCTGGTATCTTTATTCCCATTGCTCCTGTCACTCCAAGGAGCTGATCTGGGACCAAGCCCTTGTGCAGTGGAGCTAGGTTCCAGCTTTTCATCTCCCAGTTTGCTTTCAAAAGGATATTCCTCCCAGAGGCTTTCTTAGCTCCATCAATCTGCCATTCAGTTCTCCCATCCTATTTACTGTGGGGTGTTTGTGCAACTGATGCTTATGCCATTCAGAAGTTTTGCTCCATTTCCTGCCTGTCTCTCACTGTTCTTGAGGGCTTTCTTCCTTCTCCCATTTGCATTACTTGAGTTTTTCCCTTTTATTTCACTTGGTTTTGTGTATGTTTGTTTTAATCCAAATTCCCCAGTTCTCAAACTATTATCTTCTCTCTTCTGTCTTTAAAGTTCTTTCATTTAATTTCTTCTATTTTTCCTGCACAGGGAACCTGCTGGGGAGAGTGACATGTCTGGACCTATCTTTGTCCCAAGCAATAGAGCCATCCCACGTGGAGGACAACCCCAGGGGCATGATCCTGCACCCATGGAGAACACAAGGACAAAGAGGTTTTGGATCTGATAGCACCACCCTGGGTGAGTACCACCACACCAATGGAGGGAAGGCACAGAGTCTGGGGCAGCCTTGTTACTGTTTGTCATCTCTGCTTGCCCAGATGTTGCATCTTTGAGAGAGGTGTTTAAGGGCTCCTGGAAACAGGGGCGTTAGGGAGGACTGGGTCTAGTGCAGTGACAATGCTGCTGTCTCCGTTCACACAGGTGAGGCCACCTGAGCTCAGAAGACCCAATGACTTTAGTCTTCAGTAATCCACTCTGAAAAATAGTACTCAACAGCTCCCATTCTATTTTTTAAATGAACTCACCCCAACTCCCCACCTCTTTCCATGCATGTAGGTTCAACAAGCGTTGATGCTCATGTGGGACATGTGCTCTGAGTGACATGCTTTAGTGGGCACAGTGGGGTTGGGTTAATGGATGATCTTAGTGGTCTTTTCTGACCTGGATGATTCTATGATTCTATAGTGTATACTCTTAAACCCCAGTTCCTGGAATCATGCAATGTCAGGTTCTTTACTTTCCTTCAAAAGAAAACATTTACACAGTTTTGCAGAGAAGGATGCACATGTGACCCCAGTGCTCTGAAGTGCTTACACAAACATCCAATGCAGTTTTTGAGGCGTGTGACTGTTACACTACCTCTTGAAGTGAGGAGGAGGTGGGAGCAGAGGGAAGAGCCGATCATAAATTTTTCCTGTTGGAGATGGGCAGCGTGGTGTTGTGCTCCTACAGTTAACACACAGCGACTGTTTCTTATCAGCTCTGGAGCTGAATTGCAAAACAAGTTCATGCAGAAGTCATTCCATTTGCTTTTTTTTTTTTTTTTAGCAAAGAATTCACACAACCTGTGATCTGTTCTGGGTTTATCCTCCAGTAGGGGAGAAGAAAAAGACCGGTGATGCCACTGTAGTGAATAATTCATCCCATCCTCCTTGCTGGGTGCTAAGTGACCCCTTTGCTTAGCTCCCGCTTAGGCTGGGGAGGAGAGCAGGACGTCTCCCATATCTCCGTTAGCTGCTGGGGGTTAATAGGGGCATTCAACACACACATGCAGGCTCTAAACAGGGTCAGGGGGCAGCCAGCACATTGCGACCTGAAATCTGACAGCTTTTACTCATTCCAGGTTAGGTGACCCCATTTCTCTCTGGGTAGCAGCCTTGCCTGGTGCCCAGCGTGGGCATCTTACGCAGCACGGTGTCTCGAGGTGTTTCTTCTCCTTCCCCATTTCCACTTGTCTGTCTCCCTCCACCACTTTGTTACCCTGATGCTGGTGAGTCCCTGCTTTCCTCCTCCTTCTCCCTAGTTGGTCCATTTGTCGTTTTCTCTCAGTAGTCCATCCTCCTTTCTCTCCGACTTCTTCTGTCCCTTGTTTTTCCCTCCTTCCTCTCTCTTTCGCTTTTCCCCCCTAGTGTCGGAACTTCTTTCTTTGATTCCCCCCCTCCACCTCCCACCCTTTATAGTGCTGTTATCTGTGATTTTGGCAAAGAGCACATTTATTGGGGAGGAATATCCCCATGGCAACGCAGCAGATGGTGACTTTTGATTAGCTTGGCTTTTTTTTTTTTCCCCCGACTGCCAAATCACAATCCGTCTTTGAAATTAAATCAGGCTGTGATAGCATCAGTTGTTCTGGAGAGGGGACGAGAGAGAAACAAGACTGAAGTATTACAGCGGGAGCCAGGATGTAATGCAAATTCGTGTTTTTTAACCCCAGCAATAAAACCCCCCGTTCATTCCGGGAGCAGAAGGAACCACAAGAGAGGGAATAATAAAACTTTAAAAAAATGTATAAGACTTTTTTTTTTTTTTTTTTTTTAATGTTATCACCCCATATGGGCTCCTCACTCTGACCACAGCAGTGTGTTTGTAACATTGATGTCACCGGAGCTGCTGGGCCTAATCCTGTGGCTGTTTAAACACTATTGAGAATTTTCCTCCTGTCATGGGTGGTGGGGACAGGCCGGGTTCTCAGCTGAGCCACTGGAGCAACTATTTATTAATGGGGTGCGGCATCCCAAGTGGGGAGAAAAGCATTAGCAAGCAGCTCCTGGAGGGCAGTGGAGGAGGGAGGCGAGGGGAATTCAGGATAACACGGGGAAGTGGAGCAGCTGGAGAGGGCGGATGGCATCGGCGAGCCAAGATGTTGAGTGATCAAGGGCATGGGAAAGTGAGGAGCTGTCTGAAATGGCACCAGGGAGGTCTGAGCCTGGGGAAGGAAGGGTGCAAAGCTGTTGCCAGCCACGAAGAGAAAGTTACAGGGCATAGCTCCATGGAAGATGGGAAAGCAGATACCAGAGTCAAACAGTAAGGAACTTTCTTGAACGCTTCAGAAGTGGGTGGTATTCAAGACCCGTGAGCTCTTTTGCCTGGTGCCTTCTGGAGGGTGACCAAAGGTGAACGCAATTGAGTGCTAATCATAGCCAAAGATAAAGGAGGGCTTGAAAATGAAAGCTGCAGAGAGGAGATGACTAATGGCCCAGCCATTTCGTGGGAACTGACGTGGTGTCTCGGGCCGTGAGTCGCTGGGCTGCTATCTCCAATTACCCACGCAGGAGTTTAGAAAGCAGTTGTCTGGTCTCAGTGCTGGCTCTTGTGGAGGAAGGGAGTTCAGTAGTAATGACTAAAGGTAAATAAAGGGCCACATCCAGTCTTGGAGGAGTTTCATCAGAAACAAAGTGCTTTTTCTTTCTGGGGTTGCAGCATGCACATTTTCTGGTACTGTGGAGAGCAACTACACATGAGCAAAAGATGCATCTCCTGGAAGAGCTCTGATCTTAACGTAGGATTCAAATCTGTGCCCTTCTGATCTGCAGCATCTCTGCATATATGGGACTATCCTGTCAAGAGAAATAATTGAGGTCTTCCCACTTCTTCCTGATAAGTACTCCGTGCACTCCTGCTTGCTAGGAGCTCTGAGCCACCACCACATCCCGCCCACTGCTTTTTCAGTCCAACCAGTGCCTTTTCCTGCTGTGCTTCAGGGGACTCTGCAGGCTGTCTCAAGTTCTTCCAGGATAAGCCTTCTGGCCAACAGATAAAATTTTGCTGCAGATGTTGCTTCTGCTGGAGAGCTCAATTCAGGAACATTTTGTGTATGCCTTGTATTACATCTGATGTTCGTTGGGGAGCAGATAAGATTTGGGTGTAGGAGATAAGTCAGGTAGAGATGCTGCTGCACCTAAATTGCCAGGAGATATCTCAGGGCCGGATCCTTCCCTATGAGATGCAGGCTCAGGGGAGTGCTCCAGCCTGGAGGGCCTCACATGTTGGTGGAGAGTATGGGAGAAGAGTTTTACGAGCAGAATGAGATCTAAACCTCTTACTGAATCTCAGGGGATGTTCAACCTAAGTTCCTTTTTGTTTAGAAGTTAATCCTAGATTAGAGTTTGTGGAAGCTGGGCATTGCTTCTTGCATTGGTCAGACAGCCACCACCCAAATGGCTGGACTTCTTGCCCTGGACTTACCTTGCAAGTGAATGTCTGCCCTCAAATTTCTTTCCCTTGTCCATCCCCCATTGCCCTGCACAAATACTTTGCAACCACACTGGCTGGCACCTGTAGGAACCACTCTGCCCCACGGCACTGTTGTGCCTGAGTTGCTGATCCCCAATAATTGCAAGAGGGCTGAGAGTCAGCGCTGCTCTACATCCTGCCCGCAGAGCCCATCCCATCAGCATGGCGTGCATGTCCCCAGCGGTCCCAGCACGAGCCTGGCATCTGCAGGGCTGCAATCCAGGCTCGTGGAGCTGCACAAAACAAACTGGCTGTGACACCGCCGCAGCGCGCTCGAGCCTCTCCAGCTTGACACCGCATCATTATATATTGATGCCATGACACCAGCGCTCAAAATAGCATCAGGACAATTTGATTTCCTGCAGATCTCAGGATGGGGTCATAAAAACGGAGACTGTTCTGGAGAAATAGGATAGGGTGGAAATGTTTGTAGTGACATCACAGCCGCTTCCATGCCAATGGCCTCCTACTGCTGCAAACATGTGATTGTGATTTTGTTGCACGCTCCATCAGAAGAGAGCCAGGATGGCCAGGGAGGGAGGAGAAGGGACGGAAATATTCAGTTCTTGTATCTTGATTCAAATATCTGACAATAGCTTTGCAGCCCTGGGGTGCTGAGTGATCAGGAGTGGGGCCATGGAGCTGCTGCCAGATCAGGGGGCTGCAGAGTATAACTGGAGGCTGAATATGGACCTTTGGCTTTGTGGTGGATGATGCTGCTCTGTATTGGGGTACTTTGTTGGAGAGTTGGGTGGTCTCATGCTCACTCTTCTCTACTGGTCCCTGTTTTGTCTATCGTCACTCTTCTTGGCAAGAACCACCTTCAGGCCAAAAAATACAGCTGCAAAAGCCTCTGCATAGCTGTTGTCTTTAGGGGTTCCTGTTATGGAGAAGAAAAGCAAGAAACAGCAGCAAGGGGATTTAAGTAGCTGGGGATAAGAGGAGGGAGGAAGGGAGAAAAGATACAGTGAGAGAAGCAGAAGTCAGCCTAGGAGACAAAACCTTGTAGGAGAAAAACTCATTTGGTGACCCCACAAAAGGCTCTGACGGCTGCAGAGCCCAGCTCAGTGCTGGGGGCACATGAGAGTGAAGGGATCCAGCTAATGCACCCGTCCATCAGATTAGGCTGTCAGAAAACCCAACCACTTCCATCACTGTCTGAGGAGAGAGACTCACTCCCCGCTTAATGTGATCGCAGTCCTGTTGTTGCCACTCCAGGGAGAGGGGCCACCGCCACCGCAGTGTGCAGCAGGCTGTGAGTTTAAAATCCTATTAGGCAGAGACTAACAGTTGCAAAAAGAAAGCAGGTATCCCCTAGTGGGGATTTAAAGATGTTTAGACATAATTGGATTTTCCAAGCAGATGTCATTATTGTTAAACAGTTGCCCACTTGATATGTTCAAGTTGTTGGCTGTAATTGCTAAAATTAGCAGGTCTGCATAGAGCAAAGGTCAGTTGGTTAATATTGTGATTTAGTATTTTATGAAGTAATTCCAAATGCTTTTATGTATGTTTTTGTTTTTGCAGTCTAAGCCCACATTAAAGTAGTTGTGGGGCCTGCTAATAAAATAATGACTCAGCCTCTCCGAGAGGCTGCTGGCTGGACTTGAGCTGCCTCTGCTATGTGTGCTCTTCCCATTGCTCCAGTCCTACAGCAGGAGACTGCAAACTGCCCCCATACTCTGCTTTCAAGCAGAGCTCATTCTCAACCAGCCCATTACCAGCTGAGCTCTGCTGTCACAGCTTGTGGTCCTCCTTGTGGACCAGCTGTGTGTGCAAGCTCACCAGGGAGAGTCCCAAAACATGGCTTTTTACAGGGACAATGCAGTTCTGGGAGAGACTGTCCTTTGCACAAGCAAATGATTTCTTCCAAGGCCATATTGGCAACACTGGCTAAGATTTATTTTTGTAACAGAGGCACAACCCATTCCTACAGGTGGTTTGGGCACACACCTGGCAGATTTCTCGCTATTGCCGCAATGTGGGCCATAGCCAGTGCAGTCCAACCTGCTTTCTTACCACCTACCATTTAGGGCTGTCTCTCTCCTTTTTTTTTTTTTTTTTTTCCCTTTCTTTTATCATTTTCTTAATCTCCACTCTTTTACTTGCAGGAAGTGCTGAGAGCTGCCATGTGCCCTGCAGAGCACAAGGAGCTGTGGACGAAGATCTGCATTCCTCCTGGACCCAGCGCTTGCTGGGTGAGCAAACTGAGTCTTTTCCCAATCCATGTTCCCATAATCCAAAGAGCAAGTTTTGGTGTGTGCAGCTGCCAGAGCTGCTACAGGAGCTCTCTGTGGCTGCAAGAGGTGATAGAAATGTTCTGAGTGAGGGATGGGAAAAGGAAGTGCTCTCTCTTGGGTGCTGTCTTAAGTAGTGATGTAACATCCCAAGCAGACTGGGTCTGGGATAGGTATAGATTGATCACAGATTATGCACATCTTGATGGACATGCACAAAAATATCAGACTGGGGACAAGACTGAGGCAAAGTTTTAGCCCAGCAAGCTGAAAATGTTAGGGGCTGGGCTGTTCAACTCTGGTCCAGATTTCAAAACATGCTATTTTGATCAAAGACCATTTCAGTTTCCGATCCAAAATGTGCTTTTCTTTTTTAATAAACCCTTGAACTTCCTCCAAAGTAACATAAGGTAAATTCAAATGGTCATCTCACGTAGTGAGCACAGAGAATATTGGTAGAAATACGTAATTGTGTTTGCTCTGCCCAAAATAATAATCTTTGCCAATTTGTAAAACCGACAAATTCCTTGCAATCCCCAGGGCTCCAGTGTCTGCAGGGCTCCTTCTGGCTCCCAAACCATGGAGCAGCAGCAGACAGGGATTGTACCACTGGCTGTCCCTACTGCCATCGCTGCTGGCTTCCTTCTACAAACCCAGCAAGTCCTTACGCATCCACTTGCCTCTCAGTGCTGTACCTTTTTTTATGGGAGGGGGACTCTCACAGGAACTTAAGAGGCCTTAACACAGCAAATTCAGTTTTGTTCTGTTTCTTTTCCAAGCAGGGCATGGCATCAGTTTGCAAAGGATAGCAATTTGTGCTGTGTTTTTCCTTTCAGAAGTAAAACGTTTCTGTTAAGTGGCTGCAGTATTCTGGCTAATTTAACTTAGCGTTGGGAGACCTTTATGTATATCACTGCTTTGCAGTCTCCTTCAAAGCAAAGGAGCCTGTTATTCCCATTTCACTGCAGAGGAAACAGATGCAAAGACCTGCCCAAATGCAGGCAGCAATTGCAATCTGGATTAGAGTGAAAATGTCCCTGAAAACCAGTTCCACCCTCCAGGGAGACATCAGTGGGCAGGGCAAGCTGGGAAACTCAAGGGGATGTAGTGTAGGACTGAAAATAAAGCGTGTGAGATTTTAAATGCCTAAGGTGATCTGGCCAAGCAAGAAACAAGGCTCTGTGGTTCATGTCAGCCCAAGGGGGGGGGGGGGGGGCAGAAACATGGGGAGCGCGTTCCTCAGCTCAGTGGAGGACGAAAGCAGCATGCTGCCAGGCTGTGCAAGAAGTGCATTGTAAGCTGGCTCTAGCAGCTGTGAGCAAGACAATGAGGATGGTAAAGCACCATCGAGCTCCCCATGTTCAGCTTTGCACAAAGAGGGAGCTAAATTCAGCCCCCTGGATTCTGTTTGCTCATGGTTTGAATTTAGCTGGCTTTGTCTGAACAACTCCAAGCAGAAAGGAACCATAGATTGTCCCAGTTCAAGACCCAAATTCACCTTCTGCCTGCTTGTTTTCCGCCCCCAAACTACGCAGGGATCTCCAGATACAGTTTTCAGGGCATTTTCAAGGAATACCCTATTTTCTTTTATGGAACAGCTTTCTCTTCCTTCTTTTCCTCACCAAAATCTCCTTTTGTTTTTTCCCATGGCAGTCCCTCTCCTTACTACATTTTGGGCTACAGCTTGATACATCCTCACTAGATAAAGAGGAGAGGGGAGAGGGCTCTTCATCACCCCTGAACCTCCCCTACTTTCTTGCTAGTGTACAAAAAATGTTTCAATGAATGTATCTTGTATTCCAGCGCCTAAAGGCAGGACACCCTTCACTCAGCCTCAGGACTGTGTATGACAGTCAGACAAGAGCCTTTATTCTTCTGGCTAGCAGGCTTGGACATTTAAAAAGGGTCAGTTTCAGGGGGTGGGAGGAGAGCCTCCAGCTTGTCATATAGCCCTCGTACCTGTTCATCAACTATCCTTTTGCAGTACTAACTTACTTGGCCTCTGACAAACAAGCAAGGTAGCTCTTGTGTGTATTTACTGTATATTTACTATGTATTTCCAGACCAAACACTATATATCGCCTTACATAAAATCAGTATAGTTCCTCTCCTTAGTTTAGCATAACTCCTTATCTCTACCTGTCAGTAATTTGTTCCAGGCTGTTCAGAAGCTATCAGTTGTGCCACGAACTCAGCTTTTATTAACACTGCTCACAGTAGATTCCATTCGTTGAGCAATGAGAGCACATCCCACAGCTTGCATCTGATGTGTGTGCTGGGGGACATTACAGCTTCAGCTGGTCTTTTCCATTTACTGACACAGACCTCAACCGGCCATCTTCTTCAATTTCTATCTTCTCCTGCCCATTTTCAATGATTTTCCTGGTGGTGATCCTCTTGCCGTTGACCACTTCAGTGGAGGTTAAGACTGATCTGAAACTACGCGGCCCAGCTGTTTCCTCAACGAAGGAGAAGATGGTCTGCCCACTGTGACCGAATGAAGTAAATGGCATAAAGGACTGCATCAATCCAGAATACAAACTGGAGCTGCTTCCTCTTCCACTGTTTCTGATGTTGTTGAAGAGATCCATCCCTCCAAAGACTTCCCTAAAGATATTTTCGGGGTCTTGGAATACGTAAGCGATATCAAAGAAGTTGTTATGGTCCCCCATGGCACTTCTTCCTATATGGGATCGGCTCTCCTTGACAGATCTGTCATAGCGTGATCGTTTCTGAGGGTCAGACAAAATTTTGTATGCCTCAGTGACAGCTTTGAATTTATTTTCGGCTTCCTCCTTGTTGGTGAGATTCTTATCAGGATGCCATTTTAGTGCCAGTCTGTGGTAGGATTTCCTGATATCATCCTGGGAGGCACTTTTTTGCAGTTCGAGGATTTTGTAATAATCCACCATCTCAGGAGAGAGCTGAGACTGCTTGGAAGTAGCCTGGCACCTCTCTCTCACCACAGATACGAAGCCTGGAGATGTCCTGCACCCAGAGGCTCCTGGACACCCACTGCCACTGCACTGCCTGGGGTCAGGCTCAGTTCATCCCTTGCTCTGCTTTGTCTTTTGGTGTTACAGGACCACATAGGAAGCTGAGTCCCGTGTTACAGGATTGTTCCTTTTGAAGCCTGCTGTTCCCGGATCGTGAGATTGTGACCTCAGAGCGCCTTCAGCCAATTGTTGCTCAGGTGATCAAACTACGTTCTGGGGTGGGGTTGGTTGCCATTGGCCTTATGTTCTTAAATGTTGGTTGTGTACATGATGCAGTTGTCCAACATAGCTGTAATATCATATCTCTGATGTACGGCTTTGTCAGATCAGTTTTTGTGTTGCCTGCCCAAAAGTGGGATTCTTAGATACTGAGTATAGATCTGTGTGCAGTCTGGAGAAGTGTAATGTCATCAGGTCATGTTAATTCTATAGGACATTATTACCCTACAGCAGCAGCTACAGGAAAGCTGTTTGTAGTTTAGAGCCATTCACAGCTCAGGGAGAGTGCTGATAAGTTGGAGAAGGCACAGGAAAGAGCCCTAAGATGTGATCAGGGGTTTGGAAAACACACTTTGGAGTGAAATGCTCGGGGAAGTTTTCTTGATATTAAGAGGAAGTTCAACACCAGCTTCATCATATCCTGTAAGACCCTGGATGAAAACAGAGATTTGGTGGTACAGAGGTCTTCAGACTCTCAGGAAAAGCAGTTGGAAGGTGGCACTAGCAAGTTAAAACTCCTAATGTGTTGCATATCCTACACAGTGAAGGTAGTGAATTACTACAACCTCCTTGTGTGTCCATTTTTAAACCCAAAGTGGACCTTTTCACCTAAAATAATGATTAGATGACCATAATGTATATTTATGCCCAAACCTAATACCTCTGCAAGAACTTAGCTCCCATGATAGCACCAAAATAAATGTCCAGAATGAAGCTCATTAACAACCTTAGCTTCTTTTCTATGTGCTCTTTGGGATAGTTGGCCTAGGTACAGCAGGGATGCTGCATAAGCTCAATACTGACAAGTTCAGTCTGAGGAGCTGAACTCCCTGATCCAGTGTGAGGTTTTCCTGCATCTGTTTCTATTCCCTGGTTTTGTCATTCCTGTGGGAAATGCAATATCTTTGCAGGGAATCATTGCATGAAGGAGGTCTCCAAGGAAGTGCCAACAATGAGAACTCAGCTGTCTGTAACCCTGTCATAAACACCTACTAATGGCAGTGTGGGTTGCAGATCACTGCCCTCATTTCCATTATCCCACACTTTGGGAAGGAGTAAACAGCTGATCATACCAAAGAGTGTATGCACAGCACATGAGCCCACTGCTGCTCTAACACACATTGTAAGTGTGGAGCAATGATGGCAAGAGGGAGCCATGTCAGCTTGTAGAAAGCAGTATGGTGAAGGAGGAAAGAAAAGTGCTGGAGATGATGGGCACTGAGGAAGGGCTTTGTTGGGCTGGTTTCCTCTTTGGTCAGCGATGAGGCAGCACTATGGAGGTACTCACTGTATTCTGGCCCTGTGATAGAGGCTGCCATTAAGCAGTGCAGTGCTGGTCTGGCGGCCGACTGTACACTGGACTTGAGGATGATCCAAGCTTCCCACCCACAAGCCACCAAAAGGTGCAGCATTCTCCTATCCTCTGCCACTGTGACCTCTTTGTAGATGCTTGGCAGAAACTTCAGGAGCAATTGCTGTTCCTGCTCTCTGCTACCCAGAAGTGAAAATGGGATGTCAGAAACAGGTGAAAGAGCCCTATTGGAAGCTCCCAGGCTTGTTATCTGCTGCGCACAGAAGGAAGGAGGTGGCCCTGCCTTGGGCTGTCTCTGCAAAGCATCTCCTCCAGGACTTGCTTTCGCTGCAGAGTGCCTATCACAGACTTGCTGGCGCAGTAGATCATCTGTCCTGGATTTAGTGTGTCCTACCCATCTAAAACATAGGGAGTGTTTTTCTCCTGTCATCCTGTAGCGGGGGACACTCACTGCCTGTTTGTCTGCTGCCTGCAGCAGGCAGGCATCAGAGATTAGCAGCCATTCAACAGAGACCACTGTTGTGAGCCAGAAGGGTTTGCAAGGAAAAAAGAAAGGGTCGAGGAGAAATGGGGAGAAAGGAAAATGGGAGAGGCATGCACACTGCAAGTAACTAGACCCAAACTAGCCTGGCAGCCCCATCCCTAGAAACCAAGGCTTTGAAATGAGAAATGTTTTTCGTATCTCAAATCTCAAGTACAAACAATAAAAACCAGCCCAGACTGTGTTCTTTGAAGAGAAAGTACGAGTGACCTGAACAGTGGTTATCAGCAGCGTCATTAAGATAAACCCTTAACATGATTTAAAGCATCCGAAACTGAAGGCAGCACTTTCAGATACTAACAAAATGGTCTGACATTGGGGATGGAAATCAATAGTAATCTGATGTCACTAAAAATACTCAAAAGTGTCCCATGGCTGATGGAGGTGAGATTAGTGTAAATATTTGTATTCTAATCAGTGGCACGCGAGGGCTGGAGGCGGCCTTTCTGTCTATTTAATTAATGGAGTGGCTTTTTAAAAGGATCCTAATCATATGTGATTGTATCTGCTTATCAACATTTTTGCTAATTAGATGATATGGAGGCAGTCACTCTGCTAATTCCCTCATCCAAACAGCATATCCTGCACAGATAAAGTACAGTCTCTTTTTAATAAGAAACAATCATGAGACAGACTAACCTTAATGGTGCTTATTATCCGAGGATCTTTGGGATTTTCTCTTTTACCCACCCCCTCCTTCCTTTTCCTTCAGTCTCTGCTTCAGTATGCCAGATGGATGTGGATGTGGCAGTCCCTGTCCCCTTGGCACCACCATGTCCCACTCTTCCCTCCCAGCCGAGCAGCAGTGGTGGGTCAGGTGGGAGACGAGGAGCAAAACACAGGGCACTCAGGGGCAAAACGCCCCAAGATTTTGGTTCATGGACCACAGGTAACCCCAGATTTGTAGCCCCTATCACCGATCTTGCCATTGGCATCCCAAAAATATCCTGGTTCAGAAAGAAGTGAGCATCTCTGAGATGTGAAAACTTTCTTCTGTTGTTATTGTTCCTTGTATTATAGTTGATTCTATTACAAAAGGGTCTGGGGGCCAAGGGATTCTTGATAAGCATTTTCTCACCATCCCCCCTGATACCTTGACAAGTCTGGGTTCCTTTTATCTAAAACATGAGCCACAGACATTTGTTCCAAGTCCTTTGGCTATCTAAACAAACACACATCACACTTTGTCCCACCACTCAAGCTGTCATCGGATGCTTTCCCTTAAGGCATCTGTGCTTGTCCCCTGCTTGCTCCCCAAGCCGTGATCTCAAAGACAACTACAGATGAGCATATAAGCCTGACCTCCTGTTGAATGGCAGAGTGTCCTTCTTGCCTTCAGCATGAGGATTGAAAATAAGTAGAAAATGTGTCCCCTCAATGCAGATGCTTATGGTGAGATGGAAGATGGAAGATGGAGATGGAAGATGGAGCTGGAATAGGTCCTGGAGAGCTGTGTCTGGATTCAGTTTTCTGAGCCTTGAGGCCAAACCATGGTTCAGGCAAGAGGGCACTTGGCTTCTAGGTGGTGGCAAGGAGCAGAACCTCCAAAGAAACACTATTTTTTTGAGGTATGAAGCCAAAGAGAAGGTCTGGTCCTGCTTACTGGAGTCAAGGGGCCTGGCATGTTTTTTACGTTTGATCATGCCCAGGGCAAGACCTTGCTCCAGTCTTGGAAAGCACAAACGGTGATGTAACTTCTCTCCAGGGACTCTGATCCCAGGAGAATTCAGAGCACTCCAGTTTCACTGCCTGGGTCATCTCCACATGTCATCTGCAACGTCCTCACCCAGGCACGGCTCTGCTGAGGCTGTACTCAGCAATACAGTTGGCTGATCCTTCTCTATTCCTTCTCTCTGGCACAGACCTGGACTCTTCTTCCTCTCCATTCTACATACTAGGATTAATTCGATATTGACCGCTTTCCCAGAGCGCCGTCCCATTGCCAGTTCCGTGACTGAAGCCTACGACTTGAAAAGAAGAGAAACATCTGGGCCAAGGATTGCTCTGCAAGCGGTTGAGTCCCGGGGCCTAATGAGGCGCTGCTTATCAACAGAGCGTGCTTATCTGGAGCCCGCTGCCGGTGTACCTGCTCCAGCCCCATCGTGAGTGAACATGTTTTACCACCCAGTCGCAGGGAGCCGGCAGCGTGTGCGCGGTCAGGCAGCGCAGCTCAGGCGGTGCGTGGTAACTCGCGAAGCCGCAGCAACTTTATCACTTTGCAACATCCATACATAGCTACAGCCTTGAATCTTCTCAGGGGAAGAAAGGATGATGAGTTACTGTCCTGGGATTTTTGCTCTGTCTCCAGTCAGTGGGAAGTGGCATGTGGAGCATTCATTTAATAAACCAGAGGGGAAAAGCTGTAGATCAGCTTCTCATTATTTCAGAGCTGGCTCACGCCATCGCTTGGGTTTGTGCCTGACAGTTCAGTGTGTTATTTGAGGCCACTGAAGCATTCTGCAGAAATGATGCCACCCTCTTCTGAAAGCATGGGGTTTGTGAAAGCAGGGAGGGCCTGCCTCCCTTAGTAGCTTTACCATTGCCAATTCCATCTCAATTTTAGGTTTGCAGAGGAGATGCCCACTTTGGAGACCGGTTCCTGTCAAAAGCCACCACTCCAGCAGGAAACCCTCTGAAGATGGTTCTTCTGCTGAAGTAAAGCAACTCTAGGAGAGTAAAAATGCACCTCTGAGGCTGGTTTGCAGGGAATGGCAAGGTCCGGAGTCCTACAGTATTTAGATTGCTGTGTGCACATAAAACTGGTGCACCTCATTAAGGGAAGCAGCATCCTCCTCTGGAAGGAGAGATCATAGGAGATCATTGCTAGCATTCACCCCCCAGTATTTGCCAATGTGTTGCAACTGTTTCTGGGAGTGGGGAAGTGGAGTTGACCCCACAATGAAGATGTCAGGAGACAAGTTTAAGTTCTGGTCCTGCCTGTGGACTCATAAACGAGGCTGCCGGGAACAGTGAAATTTCCACGCTGCCTCAGCAAAGGTTTAGTCCAAGTTTATTGCTGAGATTAAAAGACTGGAGAATATAAATTGTAAATGTGATGACTTAAGAGCTCATAAATTCAGTATACAGCTCCATTCCAGAGAGCCAGTGAGCAGTGCAGCCATGCTGCCTTGGGCTCACATGCTGCCCTGTGCTCAAACCCAAGTTCTCTAAAGAGTCCTTCTGGAGGGGTAGTCACCCCTCCATGGAATCTATTGAAGCAACATTACCTGTTTGAGCTGCCAGAATGGGAAAGATGAACGTTTCTACTAATCCACAGGTTCTTCTACCAGTTTTTTGCTTATTCTACTTGTGTCCCCTTTCATGGAGCTGGGTGACCTCTGAGAGCAGACGGATGAGGAGGGCTCTGTGGAGGAGAGGTGAACATGCCACAATACTTTTGGGGTGAATTGTGAGGGGCTTCTACAGCTGGGTCGTGATTGTCATTGAGTTTGTCCAGTACAGATTTCCTTTAATAACTTGCTTAGGCGTTAAGACTTGGCCACTCTGTCTTTTCCTTTATTGTTTTTCCAGGAATTATGGAGAGTTAGAATACATTCTGCCTCTAGAATTAGTCTGGTCCACACCAGGGATGCAGATACTGGGCTGTGAGCTGTAATGGAATCAGAGGTAAGAATGCAGTACTCAGTGCCAACCTTGCTATCCTGCTGGGAGCAGAGCTTGTGACCACAGTGTGAGCAAGAAGAGACGGACAACATCAGGTGAACTGGACAGCATGCAGTAAGTGTGGAGGGGATGGACTCAGTGCTGCTTCCCTGGCTGAAGTCAGTCTGGCAGTGTTTGGGTTTGGGACCTTCTCTTTTTGCTTTCTTCCAACCAAACTCTTGAAAACTATTCAGATTCACCCCAAATATTCATCATCCCCCATTGCTGCAGTGCAGGTTTGTGTAACTAACAGGCAAGAGCAGATGAGAAGGAGATAAAGGAATAAGGAGGGGGGGGGGGAAGGGAGAAGTGAGGGAGGGGAAGAGGAATGCAGAGGTATGTGGCTGCATGTTGTGCTGTGTTTATGCACAAACAGGCACGCTTATCAATACCCAGATGGGAGCATGTCTGCATAGCTGTATCTCTGAAGGCAGCGGGTGCCCCTGGGCTGGGCAGCACGGCTGCAGCCGCCCCTTGGGATGCTGCTGCGTTATCAGGTTGCAGCAGGCAACCCTTGCTCCCCTTCTCACTGGGATCACAGCCCTTGAGCCTGTGTGGGGCTTTCAAAGCCTCTCCCACAGCCTCCCTGGGTAGGACAAGAGGGGATACAGATGTCACTCACTGGGGTGTGGGAGCTGGCGTTGTCCCCCTGCTTTGGTGGGACAACAGTGGGTGAGCAGAGGACCTGGAGAGAGCATTTGTTTGGGTCATTGTGGGCAGTGCAGGATGGGCCAAAACAGTCATTTCACCCCATAAATTGGGCTGTCCAGATTGGATCTGTGCACAGTACGCTGGGGAGACAGCCATGAAGTCTCCTTTTTTATTTTCTCTGTGCTTTTTAAAGAGGAGCAAAAAAAACATTTTTACAACCTTCCTCCTACCTCCACTTCCCAGCACCCAGTCACAGTGACCACTAATCTTACGTGGCTCATAACTGCAAATAGCTCAGGAACTAATTAATTTGACTGTGTCGCGCTTGCCTGCCTTTTTCACCAAAAATCAATTAAGGAAGAACACATTTCCCCTTCCCCTCCTTCCCCACTCCATTTTGCAGAGGGGAGATGGGGCAGCGTGGACCAACACTGCGTTCCCAGGGCTCCCAGGGGTCGGGGTGCAGCGGAGGGGGATTAGCAAAGTGGAGAGACGCAGCTTCTGCCAGCGGGAGAGGGGCTGCTCCCCAGGGACATGCAGCGGTGGGAAAGCTTGATTGTCACATGCAGCCACGCAGCACCATGCTCCTCCCTCCCCGCTGTCCCTGCTCCCCAAAGACCCCCATGAATTGTATGTGTGTGCTGGGAGGGGATCGGCTGTCGGAGTGTTATTTATTTGCATGGGTAATGAGCCCCTCCAGAAGGGGCTGTGAAGGAGAGATGGGTGGGAATTGTGATGCTGCTTCCCTGCCAAAGTGAGGGTAGAGGTGTTGGTTATAAAGGAGTAAGCGAGGAATTCAGGAAGGTGAATTTTGTGTTCTGTGGGAGATAATAGTAGGAATTGGAGTGGAGTCTAATGTGGATTTGGAGGTCTTGGAGGTGGGGCTCCTCCACTGCCCCAAAAGCGCAGCAAGAACGTACTCCTCGACACACATCTCCCCTCCACACTTGCTCTTCTAGCTCTGCTGCGTCCCTGGATGCATTCAGTGCCAGGCTGGATGTGGGTCTGGGCAGCATGGGCTAGTGGTTGGTGACACTGCCTATGGCAGGGGGTTTGAAACTAGATAATCATTGTGATGATCCTTTTCAACTTAGGCCATTTTATGCAGTCCCCAAAAACACTTTTCCTGAGAACGGGAGATGGCCCTCCCCAGGACTAGTGCTAAGACACCTGGGCACACCAGGTAAAACCTCCTGAGCATTATTTCTGTAAATGCCTCCATTTGGTCCATATCACCTCCTCAGATCTCTATTGAAATGCCCTTCTATTAATAAATAACTCCATTCTCCATTACCCCGCATCCACTGCTCACATTGAACTAACTGTGAATTCGGGTTTGGTTTTTATAGACATCAGAAATAGATTTTATCTTCAGCAAGGGCTCTCCCTCCACCTCTCCAACCTCTGTCCCATTGCACCGAGCACAGCGGTGGCTGGGAGCATCTCTCACTGGTATTGGGAAGGATGGGCTTACAAGGGTCAAATCCTTCCCTCTGTGCTAGTGAGCTGTGTGTTCATCTCTGTAGCACAGAGTAAAGCACTTGAGAAAACAGGGAAGAAATTTTGAATGAAGTATCTGTGTATCCAAAATAGTTGATTCTCAAGGCTTTTTGTTTCATTTTGTTTTCTTTGGGAGAGGAGTAGTCTGGCTTGGGAAATACCTATCAGGAATCTTCCTTGAATACAGCTATGACACTGAGCCACTGCATGAATGTGGGGAAGATTTTCTTTTTTTAGACTGTGGGTTGCAAACATTCCCTGGAAAATATTTGAGTTTTGAAGAGGATCAGTTGGTCGTGATTGGGCAAGGAAGTCACAGGGTGATGTTTCTATCCCTGGGTTGGATGGAAGCATGCTTTCTGGCAGGGAAATCAGTGCATGTGAATTAGAGTTGTGGTTTCCATGAATACTATCATATATGGATTTGAAGCTGATTTTCCAAGAGCAGTCATGCCAGGAAAACTTGCACTCTCACATTGTCCCAGGCAGCAAACGCAAGTGACACAAATACAGCGAGGGCGAGTTCATTTACAGCAGTGACTGTTAAAGAAAAGAAAAGAAATACTGTGTGTAAAATCTGCCTTCTCTGCTCTCCCTCCCAGAGACACGAGCTCCGACGGCTGGCATTGGTGCACAGCACGCGGGGACCGGCGCCGGCGCACACCTGGGCGCAGGTAAGGCTGCACTGGGGTGGGGACTGGATTCCTTCCAGGCCCCATTCGGCAAACAGCTCCTGCCCCGCAGCCCTGCGTGCCTTTGCCCTTATCTCCCCATGTGAGGCGAAGCGATAAGTGTTATTGGCCGTGGAGCTATGCATCCCTCCAGAAGCGCGCGTATGCTAAGTATGTTTCTTGCTAGAAATGGGAGCCTTCCTCATGCAAGAGCTCAATGATTTTATTTCATTTTTAAGAAATAAAAACCTGATTTATTGCTTGATCCAGCAGTAGGCAACTCTGCCTGCGGCAGGGGGGTTGGAACTAAATGAGCCTTGAGGTCCCCTCCAACCCAAGCCATTCTCTGATTAAATGTCTAAGAAAGTAAAACTACATTAATAAATAGCACTATTAATAGTGGTAGATGTGTGGACCTCATCCATGTTAGTGCAGACAAACAACCACAGTATTTCTCAAGAGGTAAATACAATCTTGGTCTGGAAATGACCAAACCAAGCTACATAGCAAAGAGACCTGTCTGGTCCATGCAATTGACAGTGAAGGAAATAACTAGGAGGTGACCTGTGGCACCTCTAGCTGGGGCATGCAGTTTGTACCATGGAGACAGCCCAGCCCCTTGCCCCTCACACACTGGCAGGACGTGGTGCTGGTCCAACCCAGCGGCTGTCAGTTGGGATCGGGGTTTCAGAGCTCAGGAGATGCCACTGCCTTCTGCTGGGAGCCCATTGCATTCATTCTGGTTCATGACTGCCGTCATTTTAACCCATCTCTTTTCAAGGAATGAGTCAGCTCCAGAAAAGCAAGCAGTTATTTTATTCCCCGTGCTCACAAGGAGAATCTGATTGTATATAAAGGAATAGGAGCTCCTTTGTCTCTCCCTGACCCCAGGGCTGGAAGAAGCAGCTCCCATCTGTGTCATGTCTGTTTTGTGAGGCATATGGACAGGTCAGCTCGCTGTTCTCTTTCCATGCTCTCTTGGCAGCTCAGATCACCCTGCAAAGCATGCACCAGTAGACCTAGAAACCTCCATGCCCAGGCAGCAGCTTTCCATCACTGTGCCATGCCTCTGCCTTTCTGTGGGGCACACACAAGGGCTGAACAAGCATGGGGGTGTTTGGGGAAACAAACCCCAGCTTCTGTCCCGCATTTCAACTTCCGTGGCCGACATCAAACGCGTCGCTGCAGCCCGAGCCCCCACGGGCCTGACAGAGGAGCAAAAAGAGAGGGCTGGAGGCAGCAGATCCTAATCTTTATTAAATAAGAACAAAGCTTATGCCGGCTAATGAGAAAAACAAACTGATGAAAGATCCGGCAAGCTCCTCAGAAGGACACAAAGAAATTCTCTCTGAACGAGACCATGCTAAAAATATGCCCGAATATTTATTTTGCTGGCAGTGGCTTCACAGGCTCCAGATTCGATGCCGTCTATTCAGGGACTGGCAGAGTGATTTGGGAGTAAGGTGCTCCATCCAGTGCCACATCCAGAGCTGTGGCAGTGCCAGGAAGCAACCACTGGGTCTATGTGCTCTTGGACCTTCATGCTGCCAGGCCTGTGTGCCACCAGGTCTGTGAGGACATAGGGGCACTTTGCTATCTGTTGGATGCCCCATTCCTGGAGATGTTCAAGGCCAGGATGGATGGAGCCCTGGGCAACCTGGTCCTGTGCATGATTTAGTGGTTGGCAACCTTACCCGTAGCACCAGGTTGGAACTGGGTGATCTTTGCGCTCCTTTCCAACCCAACCTTCTGTGATCATTTTGTGTTTGCTGTCTGGTGGTCTCATCTAGGCAGAGCCCAGGCCAAATGAAATTGCCACATAACACAGCAGGGGGCTGTTCTGAAATCCTCCCCGGCTCCTAGCCGGCTCCACCTGAGCCCCGCCTCAGCTTTGCCAAATGCTGAACGTGACTAAAAACGTGGCTTCTAAAGGCAAAAGCAATGCAGTTCCTCCTCCACCTCCGCTGACCATGAAACCTCAGCCTCTACTCTTTTAATGTCCTGTGCCTGAACTTGCTGCCAGCAGGTCAAGGGGAACATAATTTACTCAGGCTTTGATGCATTTGATACAGGTTGGGGTGAGAGGTGGGAGGGGAGGGAGGTTGCCCAGGATGGGTTGGAAAGTGCCAGAGCCCTTTGCTAACCACAAGGTGCTGCCTGGGGGGGCTCCTCACAGCGGGTGGGAGGCAGCAGGCGTTTGTCTGCAGGCCCCTTCTTATCTCCTGCTCTGATGAGGAGATTGGGAAGGAGGGGAGGCTCTGCCTGTGCTCTGCGCTGCCTGGAGAGGTTTCTGAGTTCTCAGGCTACAGATCCCAGAACCCTGTGCCTCCCCACTCCTGTCCCTCTCGCCCCTCCAGTGACTGCCCTCAGCCATGTGCTGCTCAGTGTAGGACTTTCTGTAGGTACAGGAGCTGCATCCCATCCCGAAGCAAAGTGGGAGCTGACAGATTTTGCAAACAGCCCCTCCCAACAACATTGCTTTTGAATTACATCCTGCACCTTGGTATGAGCACTGGGCCAAAGGCTGATGCTTCCCAGCTCAGTTGATCTCCCCCCCCACCCCACACCTCTCTTTTATTTTTTTTAATTATTTGGGAGTTTCTTTTGTTTTGTTTTCAAGGAGAGGAAACTGAGGAAAAAAATAACACCCCAGTGAGAAGAGGTGCCCAGGCTGTGCCCTGACCCACTGCTGTTCATCAGGAGGAAGCAGAATGGTGTGACTGCTGCGGTTTCAGTTCTCACTCCATCCCACTGCCCAGGAGCCAGGACAGTGGCTTAGGAGAGGAAAGGTCCTCTGAGCCAAGCTGCTCTGGGGGGGCTCCCCCTATCCTACAGAAGGGTTGGAAATTGGGGGGGGGGGGGGGGGGGCTGGAAAAGCAGGACACCCCTGCAAACCCCACTCCGGTGTATTGATATTCAGTGTAGAGAGAGGGGTGTAAATTCAGTGCTATCTCCTCGCCGCTCACCGTTTATGCCGTTCATTTCACATAGATGTCACTACTGCCTTATAAGCACTCCTCCGAGCCAGCCGCTTAAATGGACCCAGTGCATTATAGTAATGGAGTAACTGTATAAAAACAATGAAATCCAATCTCTTTAAACTGATTTGATGTCTGCCTGAACCACAACATTTCCTGCTAATGGCTTCCTTCATTTTGTAACCGTGATCTCCACCTGATCAGATTACAGCTGTTTTTAATTACAAAGCTAATAGAGTTTGTAGGCAGTGTCGGGAGGATGGCGCATGCCCCGGGCAGAGAGGAGCTGGTGGGGGCTTGAGGTGGTTGTGCTGACACTCAGCCTATGGAGCAGACTGTCAAAACACTAGGATGGGGACAGAGTAGGGATGTTGGTGCCATCTGACTGCTGCAGCTGATGGGGCAGGAAAAAGCACTGAGGATGACTGATAGTGGAAAATGTCCTCGAGATTGATGTCTTTCTTATGGGATAGCGCAGCCAGCTGCAGGGTTGGATTCCTCCACCTCGGCCTGGATGGTGGAGCCCTGGGGAGTATCTGCGCAGCTCATCCTGCTCCCCAAGGGCCTCGTTTTGTCCAGCAGTCGGTTTGTTTGCTGATTGCTCTATTGCTGTGGGTTAGGAGCACAGAGCAGAGTAACTGTGGGGAGAGAAGCAGTTTGAAATCTGTTCCCAAGCGGTGATGGTCGAGGATGTTTGATGCCCAGAAAAAACACTGTGGTGTGTTACAGATGCTTCTCAGTAGCCCATACTGGTGTTTAGGATTGAGCTGATGTTGGGTTCAGCTGAAAAATGTCAGCAGCAAAGGAGAGCAGCATCTCCAGGTTGAAGCCATGTCCTGCTGTAGGAATCTCCCATTTGGGGTGCTGGAGTTGTTCTTGTGCCCACAGTAGTAAGCAATCCACTTCCAGCAGCTGGGACAAGGGGAGGACAAGGCAGGAAGAACCCCAGAGCCCCATGGGGAAGTTCATGCTATTGAGACCTGCTTTGGAGCTGCTCCCACTGCCTGCTTCGTCACACTGCTCAGGATGTTCGTCCTCCACTGCCTTGGTGCAGGAGTTGCTTGTGCCAGGTGAGGCTTTGTAAATGAGTTAGGGTCCACATCAAGAGCACATCAATTACATACCCTGAGACTTAATTTTTTCACTTGACGGGAGTCTCTCTCCTTAATTTCATTGTCTCCTCAGTCTCCCCTTACACAGCAGAGCTGTGGATGGTCTGCTGGGCAGTGTGTTTTCTTCTCCTTCCCAGTACTGCCCAAACTCAGCTGTTACCTCTTTTCATTAGCAAAAAATGAGCCCTGGACACAGTGCTGAGGCCAGGTGAGGACTGGGCCTGTGTTCCCAGAGTGTGGGCTTTGGGAGGCTCTGGAGATGTGCTGTAGTGAGCTGGAATGTATTTGTGCCTTACAGAGTTCTTTTCACTGCCTGGTTGCCCATCAGCAGCCTGGCACAGGATGATGCTGAAAGCCCTCATCAGCCACACCAGAGCTTTTCCTCTTCTCCTTACACCTCTTCCCTCATCTGAACTTTTAAACCCTGTGTCTGGTGAAGCTTTTTGCAGTAACTCAAGCCCTTGGAGAATCATTAATAACGTGCTGTTTTCGCAGTGACACCAACATGAGCTGCCAAAACACCAAACACCAACAGCCAGTCCTGCCCAGAAGAGCGGAACGTGGGGACTCACCATCTCCTCCCCATAGCTTGGTATGTCTTTAAGCGTGTTTATTTTTCAAGCCTTAAAACTACCCTTTCCTAAAATAAATAAATGGAACTAATACCAGGAGCCTAGGATTTTAAAGCAACCCTGCAAAAACAAAGCAGTGCGTGCAGATCAGTTGTCACCAGCAACCGTACAATAACAAAATAACACACGCAACCCATGCAATGCTGGAGCAACCACTGTGTGCTTGCAAGAGGGGAAATATATGGAGAGGGGATGTAGGAACCAAACCATGATGAGCAGTGCAGCTTCAGCATCGGGCTCAAGACAGGGCATTCAATGCATTCAATGCCACTTTGTTGGCACAGTTTTAACAGCCAGACAAAGCAAAAGGACGTGAGGTTTTGTGGTAAAACAGGAAGCTCCCTCAAATCCTGGAGCCTATGAAGAATTGTCAGTGGAATGAGAAGCTGAAACTGCTCCGGGTTGTGGGGCAGGAAGGGCAGGGGAGCATGGAAGGGAGGCTCCAAGCACAGACCTCCCCGACTCCCACATTCTGCTCTTTGTTCCCCTTTTATATGTATATGTATTATATTTTCAATTATTTGAGGCTTTCTCATTGCTTGTTTTTTTTCCAATGCACAGGCACTCTGAGGTTAGTGAGAGTGTTCTCAGAGCAAACCCCATCCTACACGAGCCGTTGCTGGTGAGACCCACCTGCGTGCACTGTGCTACAGAGCAGGATCAGCACCGCCATCCAGACTCTGCCTGTGCCTGATGCACAAAACCATGTGTTTGAGGAAGTACTTCTGGAGTTTGAAAAGGTCTGGTTACCTTCTTCTTCTTCTTCTTCTTCTTCTTTTTTTTTTTTTTTTTTTAAATACTTATTTTATATTTTATTTCTGCACCTTCTGTTTTTCACACACAGCACTTGTGTGTGGCTGCGGGAGCTGCTGAGCAAAGCCTCTGCTCCTGGGTCAGCTAAGAGTCACCCGAGACGATTCCTTTAGCGATTTCTGACCCATTCTTCTACATCTGAAACACAAATGTGCTGAAAAAAAATGTGGTTTGGTGGTTTAGCTGTTACTAGAGGGAATCTGGTGGCCACAAAGTTACTGCACAGAGGCTGGTGAGGGCTGAGTCTCCGTGCAGCCTGTGCTTTTCAGTTGTTCCCAGCCCATGGCTCCCTTCCATGGCCATCAAAGGGACACCTGGACCAGCTGAAGACAGTACTGTGGGGATGCCTGTGGGCAGCAGGGGATGGTGCTCCAAGGCAAACTCAAGGCAGCTCCAAGGGAAATGGGATCTGTCCTGCCCCAGCCCATGATGGGCTGCCTGTCCCTAGCAGGGGGCCCTTCCCCGTGCCCAGAAATGGCAGGGGAGCACTCAGCCATGGGGCTGACGAAGGGAGCCCAAGGGAAGAGCCAAGAGGCTGTCATGACACCGTGCTCTCCTCCGTGCTAATTGTACACTTGGGACCAAATTTAGCCTGGTGGAACTTTGCTGAAGTCACCAGGGATTAATTTGGCCTCTGGTGGCTCCATTGTTTTAGCTAAATGAGTCAGAAGAAGCAGCCTATTCTTATCTGCGCACAGTGGGGCAGTGACAGTAATGGCTCGGCAAGGCAGACCCCAAAAGCAGTGCGGCTCAGACCTGGGGTCAGGACTACCATGAGCAAAACGGGGCTGCAGGAGGAAATGTTTTGACGTTTGGGTTACAGATGGAGGCAGGCCCAGTGTGGGCGTGCTGTCGGTGCTCACCGCCACTGCGGGTGGAAGGGAAGGGGGCTGCCAGGTTCCCTGAATATTTGGCGGTGCCGTTGGAGTTCCTCAATTCTTTGTCGGACAGAGAGGGAAGCTGTGGCTCTGGAAGGGGCATGTGGTGTCGGAGGGGACTTCACACCCGGTGAGAAAGGGAGCCGTGTGTTGGAAACAGCTGAAAAGCACCGGCTGCATCCCTTGCAGGGCTTGCACAGGACTGGAGGTATCCTGGGGAAAAGGTTTAGTGTGTTGAGTTTCCCAACTTCTGGGAAATTTGGTATGAGTTGGGTCACTGTGATCTTCCAACCCAGGTTGGGTCGGAGCCATTAGCAAGCAGAGAGGAGATGGCTGGATGGGCCATGGTAGCCTTGTGTCTTGGCCAGCTGGCACCGAGGAGGGTTTGGAATGCAAAGCTGGCACTGAGCAGGCCATAGAGATGGGACTGCTGTCCCTTTTCCTGCACCCAGCCTCCCCTTTCCATTCCCTTGGCAGATCAGTAGAAAGCCTTTGGTCCTCAGGCTGCCACCCAGCGCCTTTCACTGTGGCCAAATGCACTTTAAATGAACCCGAAGAAGGTTTGAGACGAGGCCGGGTGGACACGGGGCGCCCCGATGGGCGCATCCCAGCTGGGCAGGGAGCGGGGCCGCAGCGCTGTGCTCTGACCCTACCGACGTAACTACATAATGAGCCTCTTGGAATCCCTCCGTCCCTGCCAAAGGGGTGGGATCGGGGGACGCTTTTGTTTGCCGTAATGAACCTGTAATTATGCTGCTTTTCTTGGGTTTAACCGCATTTTTTTGCGTGTGCGTCGTTCTCTTTGTATTGACAGATTTACGGCTGGGATACCCCGCTGCAGCCCGGCCGTGCAGCACACAGCGCCGGCAGCTGCCGGCTCAGCAAGCTGCGGGGCGGGGATGGGGGCTTTGCATTTCCCCAGCTTCCAAAGGGTTAAAGAAAGACATGGAAATTTATGCACACGCAGAGGTGCCGCCTCTCCAAAATCCACGGCTGTCGGCACAGTTTAAAATATATATATATATATATATATATATATACTTATTATTATTATTATTTTTGAGGTCCGGGTGAATTAAAGGAGAGAAAGGAAGAAAAAAAAAATAAAGTAGGGACCGATTGAGCGGCATAAATAAATAAATAACACACAGCAGATTTCAGCTCCCAGGCGCTCAATAAAATTACACTTTGAAATGCAAGGATTAAGCAGGGTAGGTGACAAGGTAACTTTGTTAACAGGCTAATCTCTCGCCTTAACAGAGACAGGGGATTTACATGTGACTGCACAGAACTGTTTTATGGCCTCTTTTTTTTTTTTTCTTTTTCTTTTTTTTTTTCCAGCTGGAGATGGTAGGAAGGGGCAGGATGAGGTGGGACGCGGCTGGATGTTTTAAAGCCATTTGTAAAACGAGTTTAAACTGTTGGGTTGTTTTTTAAAGGTTGCTTTTGTCTTTGTTTGACTGTTTTTAATGAGCAAGACTGTAAGAAAATGTGTAGCCAACAACCGGCTGTCTCCCAACAGTCCGGGTGGGCAATGCTGAAGATGTCACAGACGATGAAAAATTGGGTGGAAGCATTGGTTGTGCCATCTTGCTCCAGGTGGCTTTATCTGCCCTCTTATAAAAAGCCAGCTAGCAGCACAGGCTGTTTGAAATGTTATGTCTGCATTTCTTTTGCCCTGAGTCTTTCCCCTGAGTTTCAGTATTTCTTCACCCAGAAAGGTATAAAATAAAATTCTGGGAGAAAAAGAAAAAAGTGCTTCATTTCTTGGTAGGGTGAGAGGTAAGGGCCTGAAGTTGTGCAGGGAGGCTCAGGCTAGATGTTAGGGAAAATTTCCTCTCAGAATGAGTGGTGAGGTAATGGAATGGGCTGCCTAGGAGGTGGTGGGGACGCCGTCCTTGGAGGTTTTGAGGGGTAGATGTCACAGTGAGCAATGTGATTTAGAGGTATGGTGGTGATGGGTTGATGGTGGAACTAGATGATCTTAGTGGCCTTTCCAGCCTTCATGATTCTGACCCTGAGATTTTATTCTGTGATTTCTTTACTTTTTTTGTCCATTACTAAAATGTGACAGTAGCAGGAGGATGAGCCTGAAATGAGACCTGGATCCACCTGCCTGGCTTTGTTCACCCAAACCACACGCTGCCCACCCTGCTGTGTTGGGGTTCCACCACTCCCTGCCTGCCCTCTGCCACGCAGTGAGCTGCTCGCTCAGCCCTGCAGCTCTTGGAGCGTGGTTGAGCTGCTGAACCACCCATGGCAAAGCAGGGGAGATGTGGGGAGCCAGCAGAAGTTCAGGCCTTCTCCAGGCTTCTTTGTTTCTGGATAAAAACAATGAGAAAGCCATCTCCTCCAAAATCTTCATTTGAAATCCAACAGAAAGCAGCGGGGTGAACATGTTCTCTGGTTTTAAATAGCACTGGTGACAGTATTTATCACTCTATTTTCATTGCAGCATTGCTGGGGTTTGAGCTGGCTGCGGGTGGAAGGACTGAGCCTGGAAGGAAACCCCGTGTGAAATCCCCAGCCTGCTTTGCAGATGCTGGGCTGGTTTTAGGTGAGATTTCAGCTTTGGCAGGTGGGTGAAGGTGAGCTTACCCACGAGCTGAGGTGAGGGAGAGATGCTTTTCCCTGTGCACGAATGTACACAGGGCAGGAGACAAGGTGTATTCATGCAGGAAGGCTGTGCTTCATCAGCTGAGTGTGACTTTTTAAATACCTCCTAACCATCAAAACCAAATAGACTTCTAACTGAAAAAAATGTTGTAGCCAAGCATGGCCTCTCAGCCTCCAGACCTCGGGTTTATGGCTCCAAGCTGCCTTTGCAGGAAGGCAAATGCAAAGCTTGGCAGCACATCTCCTCCAGACAGCCCTCTGTGCCGCTTTCTCAGACACGAACACCCACTTTAAACATCGGGCAAAACCTCAGCTCTGAAGTTTCTCTATCATTTGGGCGCTAAAACCTATTCAAACCGAGCAGCAGACACTTATTCTGTGCAGGAATCCGGCCAATTGTTTCTCTACCCTCTCTCCTTATACCTTAAATCATTTTGACCTTTAATTGGCCCTAATTTGCCCACAGACGGCCCTGGGACCCTTCAACACATTGGCTTGTAATTGGGTCTCTTTGTTATTTTTCCAGCGAGCCTCTCGCTGCTTGTTTCTTTTTGAAAACATTGCGGCGTGTCATTGAGAGCGGAGCCGCTTTTAAATGAGCCCTGCTGGGGGCCAGGAGAGCCCTGTGAAAAGCCCAGCAGAGAGAGACAGGGCTATCTAAACGCAATTATCATATCACTGCGAAAACGTGAAACCAGCCCCGGCTTAAGCAAACACCGCACGCCCCTGGGCTGGCGGCTGAGCGGCGGGTGGGCGAGGCGTGGGGTGGGAGAGGTTTGTGCTGGGAGAGCGCGGGGCTGGGAAAGGGCTTCGGCCATCCCGGCTCCATGCGGGGATGCTGTGAGCATCGCTGCTTCGTGTTCGGTGCCACGCGTTGACCTAGGGGGGCTGTGCTTAAATCCACCTCGTTTCGGTGAGCCGGTTGCGAGTTTGGCTATGGGGAGGAACAGGGAAGTTCGGGAGCAAAGCAGCACTCGCTTCGGTACTGAGCAAAGGGATCAGCCCAGCCCTGTGCACGCTATTAATCTGACTGCGGCCACGGTTTGCCCCTAGCCCCGCTCATAATGTCATCAAGATCTTAACTGTCCAAAGTTGTAACAGTGAGGGATAACACCACAGCCAGATAGCATCTGCGCTGCCTCCTGCGCTAATGGACACTTGTTCTGTAACAGAGCCTCCCAGCTCCGCTCGCCCTGCAGCACGGACACCTCGTGTTGGTATTCGCTCCGTGTGGACCTTAAACTGAGTGAAGGCACAGAGCTGTCAGCTCCCTGAGCTGGGCTGTGGTGCCGGTGTTGGCCCTCATCCCGCCAGCTGGGATCGGAGCATCCATGCAAGCAGCACCCGCAGGCTGGGTTGGCAAATTGCACCTTGTGTTGTACAGAAAATCGAGAGAACGTGGCTGGCAAAGCCATGGCTGCACTTCTGCCCTGCTGATGGGAGCTCTGTGTCAATCGGTCTGCGTGCAGCTCCAGCAAGGCAAAGACACCATCCTCATGAGTGTGTTCAGATACACGATCCTTCCCCTTCAGCTCGAGTGCCCAGGATTCTTGCATACGTAAATGTTTGCAGAGTCAGGGCTCTGTTTGTATTGCCTGTTCACTAATCTAAGTTTATATTTAAGCTTCTGATGTTCAGTTCATTTTTTAAATCCATCTATTGCATTAAGGAAAGGTATTTGTTTTGTTTTCAGGCAGATGTCTGAAACACTCCTGGTGGGCTCGGTGCCTCGCTGCAGTAAATATAGGGTGAGTCCAATGGTTTGGGTTGGGGGCTCCAGTTTTGAGCGGTGATGGAGAATGAGAACTATGTTGTACACAGATTGTCAGACCGTTCTACAGCTCTGTGCTCCATGCTGGCTCAGCAGGCTTCCAACAGGATGAGCAGAAGGCACGCCTCCATCTCACAGCAACTCCTCCAAGCCCAAATACTTCCCAGAGACTCATCCTGGAGATGCTCATGTCATGGAAGTCCTCTGATAGTGCTGCCTTGGTCTGATATGGTTATTCCTCACTGGTAGGGCATGGCACAAAAGGGATTTTGCTCTCCATGCTCTGACTACTGTGCATAGAGCTTCAGGGCTCTTTGTCCAGCAGTAAAAAAAAAAAAAAAAACACAACACTTTTTAACAATGCTCTTTTTTTTAATTAAAACAAACAAACAAAAAGACTGAACATCCAGGCAGGAAGAAGTCCTCTTTTTTCCAAAATAATCAGTGGTGAATTTGGGAAAGCTGGAGGGAGGCCAAGGAGCTGCAGCAAAGTGAAAGTTAGGTGACTTTCCCAGCAGTGGGCAGGGACATGTCCACAGCATCCCCCCACTGCCACAGGAGCATCGAGCCCTGGTGGGCAGGGCAGCCTCTGCCTCCTTCCCTTGCTGCCAGATAAAGAGGACAGGCTCTCCTTTTTCAGCCCATTCTGCTCACACAATGGGAGAAGGGGATCAGCGCCAAAATTACAAGTGTGAGCCCTTAATGCACCAGGTTGAACAATGGGCTTCGGAGGCATCTGCCTTGTACAGCGAGTTCTGAGTACCCAGCGCCATGGAAAGAAACCTCAATGTGCTGGCGAAATGCTCGCCAGAATGAAAACAGCCTCCTCCTCCTTTCTTCAGCTTCCTAATGGGAAGCAAAATAACAAACTGGGCCCACAATTAAACAAACATGCCACTAACCGAGCAGAGCTCAAGTGGAACAGATGTTGCTGCAGTTGCACCAGGCTGGGGGCCGGGAGCAGTGCTGGCTGCGCTTCCCAGGACGCTGTGCCACTCACCTCCTCCTTCCCACCCATCTCTCATCCCTTTTCTCCAGTGTACCCTGTCCTTCCTCTCCCCCTCAATCTTCAAGTCAAAAACCCTCCCAGTTTGCTAAAGTTGGTTTTGCTGGGCTAAGGAGCTCTCCTTCCAAAATGTGGCATCTCTGCAATACAAGAGATGTAGTGTTGCAGAGGTGAGAGAGGTGGCTGAATAGTGGAAACCAAAAGTGAAGCTGCCTGAATCCATCTTTTCTGTACAGGTCTTATTACTCTGAGGATTAAGGTCCCTGAGTCCCCACCTGTCACCATCTGATGCTCCCTCTGCTTTACAGGGATCTGTTCCCTCCATCTCCATGGCAAAGGGGACAAAATAATTTGGCACATCCTGGAAAAGGAGGTTGGATTGCTTGCTGCCTGCAAGCTGTGCCAGGGCCATTCACTGCTGGAGGAGCCAGAGGGACTTGTGGTCAGAGAAAGCCCAGCAGCCCTACAAGATTGGGTGCAGCCTGGTCAGGTCTTGGGGTCCTTCCCTGGGCCAGAATCATTGAGTCCAGAGATACTGACCACAGCAGGTTCCAGGCTCTCTCTCACCTGGGAGCCACATTCACCAACACCTCACTTGTTTAGAAAAGGCACACAGGGCTGTGATATGGAGCACCTGTGTGTACACAGTTACGACTCTTCTTATTTTCTACCTGCTCTTGCCAGCGAGGGACCTGTGCAGCAGAGCTTCACTTTGCCATGGGCTGCTGCAGCACGGCAACTTCTGCAACTATTATTAGAATCCTGAAGATGGAAGAAAAGTTACTTCTCTTTCTCCTTCAAACAGGGGGAGCTGGAAGAGGTGGGGAGAGCCCTGATATCTTCCAGGAGCTGCCTCAGGAGAGAGACTGGACCAGCCTGAAGAGCCAAAGTCCAGCAGCACAGCTGGGGACACAAACATCCCACACACAGGTAAGAAGCTCAGTGGAAGCCTCACTTGGGTCAGGTTTACCCAATTTTCTGGTGAGACTTGCTCTGTGAGCGCTCATTGCTGGATATCCTGGGGACACTGGTGATTGATGTCCAGCCAGTGGCACCTCTCACTGCTCTGCTTTGGTAAAAGGCAGCCAAATGCATGGTTGCTATGGAGCACGTCTGCTTGTTCACCATCTCGGTGGCCAGAATGGCCGTGGCCAATGCTAGCCAAAACTGGCCCTCGTATGCCCCCAGTCTGAGCGATAGTCCCACTCACCTGACAAACATGCAAACAAACAACTTGGGCACCTTAGCAAAAAAGCACCCCTGCTGCCAAAACCCCAGTTCAAAACAAAAACCGAGGTGAACATCCCGGTATTCCAGAGCACAGTGGCACCAAGGGTAAATCACAGCAAGCCAACCAGCCACATTATCGGATTACCTTTCCCCTAAGATTTGCTTCTTTTATCTTACTTAGCGAGGCAAAACACCTCAGATGGAAAATTTGATCAGAGTATTGGTTTTGACTTCCTTTTTCACAGTCGATGCACACAATGTATGCACATATGTGACTGCACATTTGATAAATTCAGCAGCAGCTTTACCGAGTTGGCCCTATTAGAACAGCTGATGACATGAGCTAAAATGACTGGGAATTAACATCCAGAAGTGGATGTAAAATTATCGGACTTCAAGAAACTCAAGAGAAATCCTGTCCTGTAAAACAGTGGTGCATTGTTCCTAAAAGGCATCTCTTTTCTCATCACCCTTCATTCTTCACCCCACCCCCTTCTTTCTCTCATCTGAAACTCAAATTTACCTCTGTTCAATTCCTGCTCTGTTGCCACAGCATCTTTTATTTTCATAGTAGCTTGGCGATGCAGATTTTGAGACTAAGACCTCAGAAGACACGCACCTTGTAACGTTGTATCTGGGTTTTAGTTTGCATGGATGCCCTGCTGAGCCAGCTCAGGATATTCAGCAGCAAATAATAACATGAATAATAATAATAAAAAGTCATTTATAAAGTCCTTTTTTGTTGGGTTAGATTTATGCCAGCCCAACACATGGAGGCAATTCTCTAGAGGGTTAGATGAAGAAATAGGGTAGAAAGTGGGGATAATGGAGGACAGTTTGTTAATGTTGGTGTATGTATTTCATTTGTGTTTTTGTGCTGATTCTTGCTCAAGGCATTGACCTGACTGTGCTGGTTAACAACAGCTCTTCATTTAGTCCTATCCTAGCAAAGACTTATGTGGCTTTTGTATTTTAAAGCCAATTCAATTCAGATCTTCTCTAAGCAGGACTATTTTGATGGAGCTGGAGAAGTGATGACACAAATAGCTGATGACACAAATAATTCTGCTGGCAGAGCAGCAGAGGTGGCAACCTCTGGATGGGATCCATGAGCAGCAGCTGCAGACAGGCACCTCTTCATGGAGCTGGAGCAGGATGTACAGTGCAGGGCTCCTGTCACCATTCCTCCAGGTCAGTGGAAGGGGATGGAGCAAGTGAAAACTATGCTGAATGTCTGTTCATAAAACCAAAGGGAGGAATTATTATTATTATTATTATTATTGCTGCAGTTTGAAAATATTTGCCTCATCTTCTGCCATTCTATAATTTCTGTTGTCGATCTAGCGCCTGCTTCAATTCCCATCCCAGACAAAAGCAGAAATGTCAGGATACCACAAGTTGCTGTTGGTCTCTGTAGCTTTTCAGGCCAGGTAGAAGCAGAAGTAGTGGGGATTTCTCATGAATTATCCACTCTATTTCTAAAAGTGTGTCTGTACAGTTGCTCGAGTGCCTCAGCTTCAGATACTGCAAGGCACCAGCAGCAGCAGCGTTTCTGGCTGTGATTTTGCTGCAGCGTCGCAGATGCCTCAGATACCACGAGCTCTTGAGGGATGAAGCCTGCATGCATAACTCCGGGTCCAACTGAGCATTTACTGGAAAAGTGAAGGCAAAGCAAAGGGGGAGCACCCGATGTGACTTAGGGCTGAGTGAGGCCAAGCAGAGCTGCGTGACAGTAATTCCCAGCCATTATTGTAGCCCTCAGGAGATCTGCTACAAACTGGGATAGTTTGTAACAGCCCTGAGGGACCAGGGCCAGAGCAAGGGAGATAGCAGCCAGCTTTGTCCCCCTCACAGGCCTGGAGCTCAGCATGACTTGGAAAGCAGAGGATTTGTGCTCTTCTCTCTGGGAAATGGGAATCCAAGGATGCCAACAGATTGGAACTCTTCTGTTAGAAAGTGCAGAATAGGAGCACTGCACAGCCCGGCTGTTGCCCTTAATCCAGCAGTTTCTAATCCTTCTTCTGCCCCTCCTGAATGGTCTCCTCACTCTTGTAGAGTAATGGTGTTGCGATGGTGTTTTCCTGCAGGGCTGCAGGGGCAGGAGGGAAAGGCAGCCACCCACCTGCCCCTGCAACCATGCAGGGCCATCTCTTTGATGCAAAGCCCCTTTGGCCCTATGCTCCCATGTGAGGCAGCTCCCCGCTTTTTGCATTTCAATCACATGCATCTAAATCCAGTCATCTGGGAATCTTATCGGAACTCACCTAAAGGAGTCCTCTCTGCTGTGTAATTACAGGGCCCCACGAGCGGGTCCTTAAACAGCTTTGTGAGTCAGCTGATGGGGACGTGGCCTCGGGTACCCAACCCTCCAGCAATGAAGGCCATCATCATTAGCTAACCTCCTCCAGGGCCGGTATGTGGCAAGCACTGGAATTCACCACTTTTCTTTGTCAGCCTTTGACAACTACTTGCTTGATATAATTACTTTCAGTGTTATTTAAGGCTCTGACTAATCGCATGGCAATGGCCAGGTTTATAATGCAACAGTGTGTAGCCTGGAGCAAATTCTGACATAATTACACTGTATAAATTCCCCCATTAGAAATGACACTGCATTGGCATTGTGTACAAAGCAGCCATGGTCCAGTCAACTGGCTCTGTGAAAATCTGTCTGACAATTGTTTACCCTGTTGGTATCTTATTGACACTTCATACGATGATGAAACTGCTACATGACAGCAAATGGGAGCCAGAGACCTGGACGAACCTCTCATTTCCTCTCTTCCTTCAAGTGTGGTCATTTTCTTGCCTGGCTTACTCAGGATGGTGGTTTGCCGGCTTCTGATGGCTCTGAAACAGAAAGAAAAGCCAATGGTTGCAGCACAAATCACAAAAGCCTATAGAAATCTGTTCAGCGTTGCATCATCTGTCCAAAGGTGTCCTTGGAGGATGACTATGGCCAAATTCAGCCCCATGGCACAGCACATTGTGGTAGGGTTGTTTGCAAAAACAAAGGCTTGAAGCATGCTGCAAAGACAGCTTTGTCACCTGCCTGAGCCAAGCACGTATGCAACTTAAACTAGGAAGGACATGCCAAAAATACATCTTAAACAGCAGGTCTGCAAGTGGCAGAATAAAGGAAATGTCGATACAGCGTGGTGTTGGAGGAGGAGGTTTCCAGTCTGTCTATGGCTTGGGACACGTGAGAGCATTTGAAGTGCTGGGAATGGGATCCGGAGCCTTTCTAGATTTTTAGTTTCAAGCTGGCTCCAGAGACCTTCAATTTAGAGATGCCAAAAATGGACTCTTCTTTTGAGTTAGAGCAGAGAAAGAGGGAGAAGCTGAATACCTGTGTCCTATCGTGTTCTGCAGTATGTTGTCTATACCAGTCGATTTATGAAACCCCAAGAGTTGGAATGTCTTTATTTCCCCATGGAATAGACTATTCTTTAAAGAAGCTACTGTCATGTCCATTTGGAAACCATTTGGTGTTTGTGCAATATAAGCAACGTTGGAAGCATCTGTCCATTTTCACCAGGTAAGAGTCAAACTCATTAACCTAACCTGGAGCGATAACCCACATCTTTCTTTTGTTTTCAGTATCACCAGGAAACCTGTGACCCAGATGAGCCACAGCCTCCTTCCTGAGCAGTAAGTAATGCCCTAAGAAAGAGATCTTTCTAGATGGCACACAGAGGCTGGAGCAAGGCCCTGAGATGCTGCTGTATGTATGGGGACAGTGGCAAGGTCCCTACTTATGATTCCCCCCTGCTAGGGCTGCATGTCCTTGTCAGGGCGAGGAGCAGCATGGAACAAGTGAGCACTGCCACGGCCAACTGTGCTGTGGCTGGAGGTTTATTCTGATACCCTGGGCTGCCAATTCAGAACTTGCCTGAAACCCGCAGTAAAATTCGCCTCCGATTCCTTTTTAGGAAAAGAAGGCTGTAGTATAAAGTTCCATTTTCTAGGCATTAAATTTTACAGTCTGCACCATTAAAAGCAGCATTCTGTGTCAAACTTAATGTTTGGTCTTCAGGAACAGCTCGGAGGAAAAGAGAAGGTTCCCTGTTTGTTCTACAAAACAGGAAAGCGGTTGCTTTCTATACTGTAAATATGCATTAGGGAAGCTCTTATAGACTCGTGCTGGGGATTTGATGTTTTTAACTGACTACATTCCTTACATTTTTGTATAACTGCCAAGAAAGCTGAATAAAATGGCTTTTTTAGTGTTTTCTCTAAGAATAGCCCCGCTTCTTTGTAAATATAGCAAAGGAATTGTTGATAATAATTCTTTGGGAGAATAACTGGTGTTATTGATGTTAAAAGGAGAAAGATTGCTGTTTCTCTGTCTCAGAAATACAGCTATCCAAGTGGGCTGGGACTTCAGAAAGCCTGAGCATTCCTCAGCCAGTGACTGAGATTAGACTGGTTTCATTCCTGTGCCAAAAGGTGTAGAAATCAGAGAGAGAAGACTGGCACTGACATCCAAAAAAAAAAAAAAAAGATTAAAAAAAAAACAACAACCAAGATTTGCATTTTCTTTCAGGATGCAAAACTGAACTTTTTTCCTCCTTGTTTGCATTTCTCAGTTTGCAGATAATTCTGCCTTCTGCCAGCTTGCCCTGAAAAGCTGCAGGTTCATCTGCTCAGCCTGACTCAAACGTGCACCATTAACAGCTGGGCACCCCTACACTCCTGCAGTGTTAGGTCAGGCCCCACACTGCTAAGGTTCCAGGAGGTGAAAGTCATTCATTCTCATCTCCAGGTTGGCAGGCTGAGCCAAATTTTGACTACTGAGCCATAGCTGTTGCTGGTTTGAAGATCTTGGCTGGTCCTTGCAGAGCCATGTGATTTAATAGTGGTAAAAGCAACTGTTGCATGAAAAATTGAACCAGCCTATGCCACGCTGACTGCTGAACCTTTATGCCATTCAGGGTGATACTGGGAAAAGAGTTAACCCATCAGTCCTGTCCTGAAAGATGGTCTACTTCTCAGTGAGACTTTGTGCCAGATGGCATTTGGGGCTGAGATCTTGGCATCTTTCAGCCACAGGAATTGCTCTGCACTTCACCTTCAAGCCTGTGCTTGTGCCACAGCTTTGGCATTGCTTTCTGCTCAACGCTCCAATACCTAGAATGGCAGTGAAATGCATGGAGCCCAAAAGGGAGAAGCATCCCATCATCTGTGTGAGTGACTTGGGGATGTAAGGTGAAGGAGGTGGAGGGCAGAGTTCCCACCCGGAAAGGATTTTCAAGATTTGAAAAGTCAAAACAGCCCCCAGTGTTCCTCTTATCTATCAATTAAAATCAAACTAGTTTCTTTTTATCATGATTGAGAGATGCCACACAGGCTGACTGCAGTATTAGTGAGGTTATCTGTGGTATAAGAAATCCAGATTCAAATGCTTCACGTGCCATCACCAGTGCACATCTGGGCTGTTGGCTGCTGTGTTTGTGTTCCTAGATCTCATGTTGTCACTGTTAGTTCTAAGCTTGTGTTGAGCCTCAAGCAGGTCAGACCTGGTCTGTGATGAGACACAGTGCATGAGTGCCGAGTTGTGCATGACAACACGGCTTTTATATTGCACAGGCTCCTAAAGAGCTTGTTCTAACAATGGGATAAAACAACTGCTGCCTTCCCGAATCACTCCATGTGCTGAAGACAGGGGGATGCGAGTGAGGGCTGTTCCCAGGGTGAGTGCTGGGAGCACAGTGTGGGAGCATGCAGTGCTGTGCAGAAACATAGCTTAAGGTCAGAGTCAGCTCTAAAGCTTCCCCAGAATCCCAAATCCTCTTTTTATATGAGTTCTACCAAACACAAACAATTAAAGAATTTCATCTTCTCCTACTATGGTGGAAAAGCCCGAATGCTTCTCTAAACTTTATTAAAAAGCTTCAGCGCGTTCCCTAGGTGAGAGTCCTGCTTGGCTTCTGAGAGCCCATATCTTTGTGTTTGGTGCGAATGAATCAGTCACTGATGCCAGTTGGCAGTGGGGAAGAGAAATAACACAGCCCATTGCAAAGAGGAAAAAAAGCAGCTATAAGCCTCGTGTCTGCCATTTGACAAGGACCCCAGTCAATGGCAGCTTTACACAGACCTCCACGACAGCTATTGCACATCCCTGCTATCTGCCTCCACTTATTTTCCTCTCCTAGGGATTACTCCAGCACCAGGTTTCGAGCCTAAGCACCATACATTCCGGTGCCAGCCTGGAGTGCAGGGAGAAGCATTTTGTAGCTTTAGTTTTGGAATGCACCGCACTGGTAGCAATAGGCTGGTGGGACAGGCAGGAACCTTCCCCTGGGCCAGGTCTCTCTGGCGGGCAGCAGCTCTCTCATCACCAGGGGTTTGTCAAAGTGTGTGGTATGCTAACATCCTGCCAGCTCACCTTTCGTAAGCTGAGTCGAAAGCATTATTCCCACCAGTGCAAACACGGCGTCTGCCACATGTCTGCTGGTTTCTCCCCGCTGCACTGAGGCAAAGCAGCCCTTCCTTGTCAGTCATTGACCAAAAGCTGTTGATTCTGGAACGACTGACTGCACTGGTTGTAAGGGATGCCAAAACCCCCTGAAAGCTGGGAGGCAAAGGTGTTTTCTTTTTAAATGAATTAAGCTGTAGAAGGAATTTCCCTGAGAGCTTGTTTGATATCTGGAATAGAAATGGCTTTCCGTCTCCATCTCCACCTAGTCAGCACTCAGAGCCACATCCAGAGAGCCTGCAGACACATCTGCCCTCTCCTCTGTGTCAGAGTTCCTCTGCATCTTGTTGACAGCTGACAAACATTCCAGGTGGGTCTGCCTCCAATTCTGTGCTCACTGGGTCACTGTAAACCTTAGCCTAAGAGAATACTGCCTAGGGAGAGCACAGTTGTTGTAGAATTCATTTTCTATTTGTATCAGTATCAGGCGTTTCTGGCAGGGCTGAGCTGGAGTTTGGTCCACTTTGTTTAAACCACAGCCTGTTCCGCAGCCATCCACTAGCTCAGGCCTGGCACATCCCACATTATGGACATGCTCTGTGCTCTCCCCAGAGGGAAGCAGGCTGCTCCCCGCTTCCTTCTGAGCCTGCACGCAGAAGCACAGTGCAGGCACACAGGAGAGCAACCCCACAGTATGAGCAATGTTTATAAACAAGCCTTTGTCAAGAGGTAAAGCAGCTCTACGTGTACCTAAAGGCACAGATAACACCTGGTGGCACCAATAAAGCACTGGCACTGTGAGCCTAATGCCCCATGGTTCCCGTAGGAAACCATGGACCTGTAGCAGCATCTGTAAATAAATATCCCACTGTGCCTTTAGACACTTAAATACCTTTCCAAACCTGGCTTCTTGCCTGTTTCCCATGCTCTGCTGTTGCTGCTTTACTTTTGCACGGCAGCAGGAGTATGGAGCTCAGCTGTATGGAGGCTGTGCTGTGCCAAGCACAGTGCAGGCACCAAACAAAAGCCCTCTGACCGCTTCCCAGCATCTAGCTGCTGTTATTTTAAAAACAACTCTCCTTGCCTATTTTCTTTTGCCTTTTATTCATTGTTTTCTTGCTTCCTTTGTATGTCTGTTGCCTCCCAGCTAGAATACCTTTGCTGAGCTCCTGGGTGGAAAAAAAAGGAGGATTTACCTGAGTCCAACCCATCTGCACGTGGTAAGTGATGCAAGGGCTGAAATGAGGGTGTTAGGGGAATGCAGAGCTACAGACACAGTGTTCCAAGCTTCCCAGTGGGATTAGGGAACATAAGCACTGCTGGGGAGAAAGAAAATGGGAGAGTTCAGATCATGGAGAACGGAGCAGATGCAGACATATGACACACAACTGAGAAGCAGTGCTCCAAGAGAGGCAAATTTCCCCCAGCTGTGCCTGGAGCGGGTGGGTTGTGCTTTTCCTGTGCCTGGGCTAGCTGACAGCAGCTGCCACAATGGGATCTCCTTCATCTTCGTGTTAAGGAGCTTCACTTTGTGCAGCTTGAAGCTTATCTAGGTAAAAGTGATTTTATTAACAAACAGCTGACCTTGGGTTCAAGCTCAGAGTGGCAATCTGAATCTCTCCCAGAGTTAAATAAATCGAAGTCACCGCATTTGAAGTAAAAAGTTGCCACGCTGCTCTTTGTTGTGAAATTCCAACAGGAGAAATGTGTTTTTGGGGCGCTCTGATGCACTTCAGGTTCACTTTGGGGCTCGCCGTTTCATGGCAGCTGGTTCTCTGATTATTTTCTATTAAGGACCAACTTCCAGTAACATCAGTGGGAGCAGGATTTCAGCTCTAAATCTATTATTAACTAATACAGCACAACAATGCCTGGCTTTTGTTCTGTTTTGTTTTCTCCTGGGGTCGGAACGTGTGTGTATCCCATTAACTCTGTCCTCGCTGCTCTCAAGATGTCCCACACAAATGATTTTATTTTTTTGGTAAGAAAATATATTTTACTAGGCAGTTTTATGAGAGCTGACAAAATGCCTCATAAATAACCCAGCAGGAAATATGGGGTAAATAAAATTTTTACAACTTTATCATAAACCTGAGAAGTCTTTGGTTCCTTTTCGAATGGAATGAGCGAGGTATTTCATTAAAGGAAAAGACACGCTCTCTAAAGCCCAACAATTACAGACACAATGCCTTTTTAACCTGCAATTCAGTCAAACAGGTTTGGTGGCAGTGGAAAACGTAAAAGGCCCTGTTTTGACACTTTGGGTCATGCTCCCCATGGGTCAGTTTGTGCTGTGGGTTCCCTGCACAGCAGAGCTGGAGAGCTGGTGTGTGCCTGACCTGCCCCGAATTACCCAGGACCTCTGAGGAACCACATATCTGGGGAACGTGCTTAGGGCAGGCTGCAGTTTTGCACAGGCAGATGCGATTGGGGCCCTGAGTGCAGGGGGAACACAAACAAATATGGTCCTCAGGTCTTCAGCACAAGCCTGAAATGCAATGAGTTGGTCAAAGACCAAGTGTCTGAAATAGAAACACTTGGAACAATCCTCAGTCCCCAAACTTTGCATGAAGGGGGAATTCATCTCTCAGCAGGAGTATCTTTGACACGTGATATTTTGGTACTGTGGGAAGATGGGAGGGGGTGCCACTTTTATGTCCTTTGCACTTGTAAGAATTCATACTGACAGCCATGACTGCTTTCTTCTTAATGGTGAAAACAGAAATCTGGCAAAATACATCCTGGGTTGTATGTATGCCTGTATAAGAAGTATGGAAACTGCCTTCCAAAGGAAGTAACAAAATGCCACTGCATGCCCACTTGATCTGATGAGAAAATGATCTGGAGTGAAGGAAGGCCTTTACCCTTTCTCACACTTCTGGTCTACCTCACTTGTGTTTCTGTGTCAGCTGAAAACAGAGAGGATCAGCGAAACTGGAACTGTTCAGAACCACACATTACTTCCATGTGCCGTGAACGGAGCTCTCAGGCTCATCAGAGGAAGACCAGAATGAACTCCACCACCGTGGCCTCACCTTGCTGGCATTGCAGGTTGTACCACTGTGACCCCCCACCTCTCCCCCAGGGCTTGATTGCATAAAGCCCACCACCCTCCCTCGCAGGCACTCTTGCATTCCCCTGTGCTCCCATGCCTTCAGGCTTACCCTCCCACCCTCAGATCACACGGGTCCTTAGGACATCTACAGCAACTTCCTACAGGCATGTCACATCAGGAAGATATTTAAAGCCTTTGTAGATCTAATGCTTTCTAAATAGGAGGTAAGCGCACCCCACACTACCACTCCAGAGTGCTTTTGATGCCGATTTCTTTTATGAGCACTTTGGGAATGGGGCACTTTAGGGATAGCTGCTCCCTGCACCAACAGGTCTGCAGTCCCCTGCCTCATCACACATCGTGCTGAGTGCTCAGAGCTGACACTGGAGCCAAGTCAGGGTGTCCCTGGGAGCTTTGCCTGTATAAAGGCTCCAGGCTCTGGCACGTTGTCTGGAAATCACTGTGTAAATAGGAGAGACAATTATTGCAACTCTTTCCCAAAAGGAAATTCCATATTGGCACCGAATGGGGCGTTGTATGGCAGAGCACAGCCCTGACGGAGCAAGCTGCCTGGCAGCAACTGACAGCACACTGAGGGAAATTGGCTTTTTGGTGGGACGTGCTTTAGTGAAAGCCCATATGTTACAGAGTTATCTGCTGTGAATCCCCCAGCATTATCCCCACGCCTCTGTCACCTCCCCCCTGCTTCTGCCCTCCCCTCGGGCCCCCACCTCGACGCAGAGGTTAAATAAAATATCATTTCCTCCTGATCTAGCCTTTGTCTTTGGCAATCAAAATGCCCTTCAGGCCCCCATGGAGTCAACCTTGCAGGTCAGGGTAGGACATGGGAAACCCCTTCCCAGGCATTTCACTGCAGATAATGTCATGGCTGATTCATGAGATCACTCCAAGTGCTGCCTTCCGCCACAGCTGCTCCTTTCAGTGCTGAAGCTTCTTGGCTCCTTGCTCCTTTTCCCTCCTGTGACAACACCTCTCCTGCTGCCTGGGAGATTCCTGGGCAGCTGGGAGAGATGGAACAGGTACTCAGAAGGAAAGAGGAATAAAAGGGGTTATTTTTGTAGCAGCACGGCTCTGTGCAGGGCAGAGGCAGGTTAGGAGCCACCAAACTCTGTCTCTCCTCCAGCCTCCAGGAGGGACAGAGGTGAGGGAACATGTATACTTGCCTATAAATTCAGCATTCAGCATCACCTGTGTGTCACTCCTCAGTTTAGGGTTCAATACCAAATCACAGAATTGTAGAAACACAGAATGGCTTGGGATGGATAGGACCTCAGAGATGATCTAGTTCCAAATGATGGCATGTAACTGTTTTTCTTATAGCTCTTCTGATCTCCTGCTTGGTGACTCTTTGGAGAGTCCCACTAACATAACACCCAATAGAGATCACGTTAGTAAAAGCACAACTGGTGGAAGGGGAAGACCTATAAATGTCAGTATATTCTCTGTCTTTAATTATTGACTGCTGTTATTTTAACCTCTCTTTCCTCCTGTAGTTTTACATACTCGGGTTGAAAGTGCAAAGAGGCAATAGGGAGATAGAGAGCGCTGACTTCACCCTGCAATGCACAACACAACACAGGTAAAATGGAAGGGAGTCAGCAGTGGTTTTGTCATTTGTGGGGACTTGAGTGGATGGGTGTGGAATGAGCCTCCAGTGTCAGTGCCCAGCCTACAGAGCCACCTGCTCAGCCCTGTGTAACAGCCGTGTGATTTGCATGGCTGACCCGTGGGCCAAAGCACCCTGTATCTTTGGAGGATGGAGCTGTGGGGAACTGGCTCGCAAGAGTTTAGGCTGTCCCGTTTTCCCTTGCAGAAATAGAGTCCTATTTTAAAACGTAGTTTTTATTTTCTACTCATCAGCCTGCTAACTATCTAAAGCACTTAAAAGAAGTGAAAATCAGAGGGATACAGCCAGAGTGGCGGAAGGGAGAGTCAGGAATGGAGGACAAATGGCCCCCGCCCAGCCATGGTCCCAGCCCCCATTCGCACCCAGCTAACATCCCTCCCTTTGGTAAACAGAGACAGGCAGGTTGGCACCTTGTCTCCTGCCATGAAGGCGCTGGCCCTTTGTTTCCTGCCTGGCAGATGGGGGCTGGAGGGTGCCTGAGGGGTCTGGTTTGGGGAAAGCCTCCAGCAGCCCACGGGCAGGACAGCTATGAGCTCCCTGCTATGAAAGAGCTGGGCAAAATAGTTTCTATCCTCTGATGTGTTGTTGTGTTTTTTTTAACTTTGACAAAATATAAATACTCTGTCGTTTTCCTAGCTGAGCCTCTTGTTTATATAGGAACTGAGAGGGAAACCTGGGATTTGGAGCCAAATTTTATTTCTGGAGCGGGAGAAAGCCAAAATCCTGATGGCAGGAATGTGTGCATATCTGAAATGCTTCAAATCCTTGCGCAAACTTTCTTAATAGGTTAGAATTTGGCTCACCAGTCAGTGAAATGCAAGTTTTACAGAGTCCTAATACGTGTCAATCCCTGCTTCCAGCCCTAAGGGATTTGCTGGGTGTTACCCGTGGTTGCTGTCTGTGGGGCTGACCAAGGCAGACAAAGAAGAAATAACCTAGCTAAGGCAACACGAGCCAAAGAAAGGCCCATAGATATTTGGACATGTTTTAGCTAGGTCTTCTTCTGAGGCCACTGCACCACATACGTGGATAACCTTAGCTCTTTCAGCCTCCTACACCGCAAAAATCCAGGCAGTTTTTCCTCCATCAGCCACTGCTGTTTTATTGTATGAGCCTGCCTGATCTGAGGCAGTTACATCGCTGAAAACATTCATCTTGATTTCTTCAGGGCAGGTGTCAGGTGTTGCACAGAGCTTCATGGCACATCTCCACACCCAGCTCAGATGTGTCCTTGTGGATGAGAGTCTCCAGTTGAACCCTACCTCAGTTATGGAGGTCCCAGGCTGCATGGTAGCAGGAAGATGCCCACATAGCTCTTGGCATGATTTGTCCCCTTGTTTCATTATTTTCCTTCCCTACTCTGACCTATTATTAACAGACCCACCTTCTACCTAGTTCTTCTGTTTCCCCTGATATATTTGTAAAAGGCCTCTTATTCTCCTTAATCCCTTTGGCTATAATTAACTCATTCTGCATTTTTGCTGCCCTTATCTTTTCCCTGCAAGCCTTAACTGACTGAATATTCTTGTTTGGTTGCCTCCCTGTTTTCCATTTCTACTAAAGGTTTTCTTTTTAATCCTTAGATCTCTGAGTGGGCTTTTGCACGCTCTCATTTCTTGCCTTCTTTATTTACTCCTTTTTTCTATCTCCCTTTAGGTTTTTGCCTCATAAGGACTCCATCTTCCTCACACCCAGGTGGAGTTCAGGACAACCTCAGGTGACACCTCTATTTCTTTATTCCTTTCAATGCATTTTTCTTTTTCCTTTGGCACTACTTTTTTTTTTTTTTTTTTTTTTTTTGCAGTGTTCAATTTGTCCCTTCCACCCTTCCACTTTGTGGATTCCCGTGTTGTCTTCTTTCACCCAATACCTTTTGTTATACAGAAAATGTGCAAAGTAAAAATTGTCTTGTTTTGCTTTGTGTAAGGTTTATTTTTGACCCAGCAGTGCCCCAAAATTAGAAGAGCTGAATGTGCTCTATCAAGCAGATCTCCAACATCGTTGCCAAAACTGCCTTTAGAGTTTGGGCCTTTATAACTTTCCAGCGTTTCTTCCTCAACGGGAGGAGGAAATTTGCAGCACACGATGCAGATCCAGCATATTTCCCTCAGGGAAAGGTGCTGGGGTGGTGAGAGCTTGTGTGGGGATGGCAGAGGGCTGTCCGCCATCACGGGGCTGAGGTCTGTCCCGACCGCCATTTTAGGCTGCAGATGGAGGGGGCTCAGGCCACAGACTCGCTGCTTGGCCCACTGCTATCAGGAAGCATGGCAAGAGGAAAGCTTTGCTGCTAACAAAGAGCAGTAAACAGAAGTGAGGGCTCCAGCCATGCTTCCCCTCTCCCTGCCCGATGTGGTGGGTGGGAATGGTGACAGACACCCTTTTTTTGTCCCCATTATAGTGGAAATAGGCTAAAAGAGACCTGATGGAGTGATATTGGTCGAAGGAGAATTGCAGCTGAAGTTGTCCCCTAGGAGGCTCTCATCCAAGCCTCCATCTTCTCTTCAGCATCACTCAGGGAGAAGACAACAACCTAGCCATGCTTTGAAGAGGGAAGAAAGAAAACCAAACTGTTTTTATCCTACCATCGGCTCATTTTACCTTTCCTGCCATGCTCCCCAGACCTGAGCCTTCACAGAGGCAGGGGCCGTGCTACTAGAACAGTGGGATGGCAGCAGGGAGGAGGGAGCTGGATGATGGCTGGTGGTGGCTGCCTCCTTCACTCTCCTCCAGCATAAGGTTCTGCCGCTCTGTTGCTGCGGTTCAACAGGGCAGGGTGGGGAGGGAAGGAGGAAGGAGTGGGGGGAGCTGAAAAAAAAGAAGAAGAAAAAAAAAAAAAAGAGAGAAAAGGCAGTCATTTGGGGCCTGGGCATGGTGGTGGTTTCACCGCTTCCGCTGCCTGATCCACCTTTTCAGACACGCATGAGGAGATTTCTGAGAAATGGCCCTGGGCCGGCCCCAAGCACTTCAGCATAACTGTGCACACGCGTGTGTGTGTGAGCACGCAGCCCTGCACACATGCTTGCATGCTGGGATCCTTCTCACGAGTCCAGGCTGCTCCCAGCACACACTGGCTGCACACCGACTTCCCTCCTTCCACAAAAGGTCTCTTTCATTTCCCACGAGAGGAGGAGGTGGGAGAGAGGGAACTAGAAGGTTGCAAATTGCTCAGTCTCGTATCTCACCTCGCTCTCCGTCAGGCTACAAGTAGGCAAGGCTGGACAAATGTGCTTTTCACCTTGAGACAACTTTCCGTTGCTTCGTAGAGAAGTTTTTTGTTGTTGCTCTTTTCGGCGTTTGTGTGCTTTGCCTCTCAGAATGCTGTGCTAACTCTACAGGGCTAAGCTGCTGTTTGGTTATGAAGAGCGTGCCTTGCACTGTGCTTGTAGCATTTTCTTTCCCCATGTTATCCCTCCTTGCTGCCAGCCAGCCCCAGGAGACTTGTCTTCATGCATATTGCCAATTGCCTTGTGCTACAGCAAGGCTTTTCCAAACCCTTAGCAGATCTGGTATTTCAAAGGGATGTTGCTGTCAGGCGCTCAGCTTGTCACAGAACTGCGAGCTGGAGCCAGTAAAGCAGCAGGTGGTACCCAGGTGTGTTAGGTTAATCCTCAACTCTTTTAAGCCAGTTACTTTCTCTTGTAACTAGGACCAGCACAGGGGAGGCAGAGGGTGTAGCCTTCATTGTTTCACGGTTGTTTAGTGCTTGTAGGCTCTCCCTTATTTCTACAGGTAGTTGGGATTGCTTCTCTCATGTCATGCATGAAGACATTTAAGGCAGTGGCTAAAGCCTTACTCTTTGCAGAGCGATGGCAAAGCAGCTTGCATCAGGTAGCCAGAGCTTCTGTGGCTGTGAGGTGGTGATTCTGAGCCTGTTCAGAGCATCCTGGTATTGTGCTGCAGCTCACATAGAGCAGATGATGTAGGAGGGAGTCTAGCTGGCACTCTTGTTTCTTTGCCTGATACTGCAGTTATAAACAACTAGTATCAATCAGGTCTGCCTGAAAGGCAAGTAGGCGTTGTCTCCATTTTAATAGGGGAAATCCTGTGCACAGAGATTTCAGGACCTGGTGGCTGGAGTGCAGAACACATGGAGGGAAAGCTCGCTTTTACAGAACATTTCCCAAGGCATCCAAGGACTCTTGCAAACCCACAAAGCTTGCCCTATGAAAAACCACAGCTGCAACAAAAGAGGAAGAGTCCACAGCAGAACTTGGAGCATATTAAACCTTGAAGATAGGTCTCTTTTTGTGGTGGGATGTATTTGTATAAATACATGCGTATGTGTACATGAAGAAAAGAGCTGGGTTTGTTCAGCATTGGGACTAAAAGTGAAAGCAGGCTGTAGGAACACCACCAGGGCAGTGATGTCAGACAGAGCTATAGCATTGACAGGGATGGATCATACAGTGGCATGCAGCAATGGCTGGTCTTCCCAGGCCCAATAGACATTAATGGAGCAGAAGTAAAGGAACATGGCTGGTTTGTGAGCCACAAAGGTAAATTCTGCAAGGGTGTAAATGCGAGAGACATTGGAAAGAGAGCTCTGAGAAAGAGGGTGCAAGTGAAAAGATGCACAACTGATGCAGAAAGCTTGGGCCAAAGGAGCACAGTCTCTGTGGGGTACTAGGTACTAAGGAATTACATAGTAGGGGCAAAAAGTGAAATGAGATTTAAAATGGGAGCATCTGGTCCCATGCTGGTCCCATGTCAGTTCCTGCTGATCCTCACGCAACATAATGTGGTTGCTGTTGAGTTCAGAGTTGTATGGGTTCCTGTGAAGGCAGTTCAGTGCTCAAGGCTGGCTCTGGTGAGACTCCACCTGAAGTGGGTGCATTCCTGTGCATTGAGCCTGGAGCTCACGGTTAACTCTTTAAAGGATTCAGGACCCTTGCTGGGGAGGCATGGGTCCCTTGTGGACAGCTTTGCTGGAGCTGGAATGACACTGACCAAAGGAGTTTCACCACGGACAGGAAATTCAAAGAGCCTGTGTCTGAACAGTGTCAGTAAGAGAATTTCCTTCATTGGACAAACCTGGTGTATACTTTGTAAACATGCCTATGGCATGGTTTGCAGTCACAGCTGCATTCTTTAGCTGCGGCACATTTTCAGCTTTATGCATTCATTCTTTAATGCATTGTTGCAATGCTTTGTGAGGGTGGTAAATCCTACCTTAACAGAGTGAGTAGAGGCCCTACGCCACCTGGATCAGATGGTGTAGAGCTCATTGTAGATTTCTGGAGTCCATACTTCTGGACAGACTGCCTCCTGGATCACTTTGGAAAGCACAGAAGGAAATGTACCTGTTAATATTATCTCAATCCTTTTGAGTGCAAGGTCAGTAGAGGAAAAGTTGCTCCCTGCTATGTCTGGACTGCAGGCAGACAGGCTCTGCTGGGCAGGTCACAACCATTGTTCCTGGTCAGCCAGGCCAGGGATGTGGCTGGAGCTCCCTAACCTCTTTTAGCCTGTACACCCGATCCGAAGGAGTCAGGGCAGAGCTGCTGCAACCATCAACATGAAAGAACCAACGGCTGGCTGAGACCAGGGGTTACAGTAAGTATTGTTTCCTTCCCTGAGATTATCTGCATCTCACCTTCCATTGGAGCAAAATTCACTTCCTGGTGTGAAAGTGGTGGAGAAAGAGATTAAAGCGAGCAGATAATGCAGTGGGAAAGCATTTCTTTGCATCTTTCCTGGATAGAAGCGCTGTCTCCATTCCCATCACTTGCAGGACCAGCTGTGGTTTCTGGCAATGGCAGACACAGACATTGCCCTCCAGGTTCCTTTCCCTTTCATTACCCCTCCGGAGAACAGGACTCTTGTTAAAAGCCATGGATATATCACTGGGAGCCAGCTCTATTATGCACCAGCCAGTGAAGCAAGATAGGCATACTCTCCCACAATCTAGGGATGCCCCTGCTGATCTGTTACCAATGGGGCTATCTTTAGTGGGATCAGAGGCTGCCCTTTTCCATGCCCCAATGGGACAACACCTGCCCACCAAAGGACAAAGAGGAAACCTGTTGCGATGGGAAAGAAGACAGAGTTCTCCCCAGAGAGGCTGTTTAATTAAGAGCGTCTTTCTGCTAGCCAGCTGGTTTGTTAGCAAAGCATCTAACTAAGCTTCACCTCTGTGCAAGAGAGAAAGTCTCTGTGAAGCAAATGCCATGAATCCAGTTTTACTCTCTCATATAAACCATAAGAAATCTGGTGAAGTCACTGTGGAAAAAAGTCTGTAGGATAAACAGGCTCCAAGGGGTCAGAAGAAAGCTATCTATGGCCCAGGGGCTGCCCTGTGTCACAAAGTCCATTGGCCTGTCCAGAGCTAGGGTGGAAGAGTTGAGGCATGGCTGGATGTGTTTGTGTGCGCTGGTTTTTTGGAGTCTGGGGGATTCTGGCAGAAGTGTAAATGTGAGCAAAGCTTAATTTCACTGGATGCAGCATGTAACAAGAAGTTCAACTTCAGTTAGAAAGGATCTTAATATGACCTTCCTTTTTTTTTTTTTTTTTTTTTTTTTTTTAAATAAAGAAAAAAAGGGGGCATTGTTTTGAGTTGTTAAACAGCTGCTGTGTTCCACCCCAGTAATGGCTGCATTTAAGTAGTGAATAATATAACACTTAGATAAACAGCCGGTAAAATAATTTGGGATCTTTCCTTAGGGGGCAAAGCAGGCAAGTTGCTCTACAAAAATAAATCATTATTCGCTCTACCTAGGAAATGAAGTGTTCTCCCTTCCATCACCAAGTGGGCTGTCACGCATCTCCTCCCTCCCTTCTGTGCTGGAAGTGTTTGCAACACTCTTTTACCACCTTCAGCTTCCGAGGAGGTTTGGATTCGTGCATCTTTACTGTTTCCTCTTTCCCCCCTTGGCTTTTTCTCCATCTCATCCCCAATCTCCTTAAAAACAACCCTCCCAGCTGCCCATCTGGTGTCCTTCACCATCTCCTCATTTAAGGCGGCCGCAAATTGACCATATTAGAAGTTTGGCTGAGCCGCTTCTCCCGCATCGCCGTGCTGCCTCTGCAGGGCAGGACGGAGGAGCGCCAGGCCTTGGGTCTTGGCCTCCATCGGATGAACAATTTCCCGTTGAAGGTTACTCACTTCCTGTTTTCTGTATTTAGACAATCTGGGCCTATGGGGAGGCTTTGATTTGTTGTAAACTTCAGCTGGTTTAAGCGTTAAGTAGCGAGAGAGCACGGCGGGCGGAGGAGAGGAAAGGCCTGGAGACAAATTAGTGCTATTTCGTACGGTGACCGTGTTTTCTCGCAGTTTTCTAGCGACCATCAGAGCATGTGAAAGGAAGGCCAGCAGCTAACAGCATGGGAGATGGAGACAGCGTGGCTTCACAATGGACTGGCTGTGTGCAGCACAGGGAGCAGGCGGGCAGCACAGAGCAATGACTAATTCCTGCGATGTGTCACTTTTGCCCTGCACACAGCTGCATGGAGGGGGCAGGGAGGAGCCTCCAACCTGGAGAGAGGAGCGCTGTGCCCTTCCTCGATGCCTAGCAGCACACGCCGCACGCCGAGCTTTGTTCCGACTTGCCCAGAAGTCTGCTGGGATGAGCGAGTCAGCACTCGCAGGCAACTGATAGGGCAGGTTGTGTCTTTGAGATGCCTGTTTCGCAGAGGGGAAACTGAGGCACGGAGTCGTGCACCTTTGCTCGTTATCAGAAAGGGAGCGTGGGAGGATCGCGGTGAGCCCTGGCGCCAGGAGAGCGGTGCTCTGTCTCCTGGGATGCGTGTTCCCTGTGCTGGATCTGCGCTCGGCTGGAGAGTGCAGTGTCACAGAGTGCCTGTGGGCGCAGAGGTTACCTGAGTGATGTGGGTCTGTCTGCTCCCTTCTCTTCTAACAGGTCAACTGTCAAAATGGGGTACTTTTACTTGGGGCTACAAAAAGCGGGGGGGAAGAGGGGAAAGAAAAAGATTAGAGAAAGAACAGAATTACAGTAGGAGGAGGTAAATGAATGTAAATTTTACAGTAAAATCCTTTAGGAGTTTCCAGAGACACCCAAAAATCCCTCCAGCAGTATAACCTGCTACAAAAATGCCACTGTGGGTAGGTGGGAGTGAGTGGAAGATAATCATAATCAAAACAGTCAACATAAATGTTCTTTTACTCTTGTGTCCCAAGCAAAGAAATCTGCTGCATCCTCTCTTGTGATGGAGGGTGGGCACAAGGAGTCAAGCTCAGAGGAAAACAAAGCAGCTGAGGAAGATCTTAGTGAAGCCCTGAAGTGTTCAGAAGAAACAAGTCCATGCTCACGCTCTGCCACTGACAGGCCCAACTTCAAATGATTTATGGATGCCATTGGCCCTCATAAGCCAGAGCCAGCTTTCCTGCGAGTAACTCCCTGCAGCCCACAGCGCAGAACCATATGGACATGGGAGCAGGATGTAGGCAGGCAGGTAGCTGGTTTCTCCTTGGCATTGCCGCATAGGCTGGGTTACCATTATACTTCCCTGATGCAGTTTTTATAGTCCAAACAGTAGCAGTTCCCTCCCTCTGCGGTATGTAGAAACCTTCCCTTGCAGGAGGGGTTGATTCTCTATTGTGTTACCTGGTGGCTAATTTTATTCTTTTTTTCTTTTTCCTGAACCAAGAATCACTGCAGAGAATTGCACCCGGTGCCATTCGAGCAAAGGGTGTTTCTGAATCGGCACCAGCCGGCTGCTGTGGTTTGATCTGTTAGATCCAGAGCAGCCTGGTTTGCACTCAGATCACCATGCTTAAAGAACAGTCACTTAATCTCACTTAGAAATGTTTACTTGCGAGGACCAGATGGCCCAGGGAGTTGGGCTAAATGAAACGTTTTACTTCTAGGTCATGTGTTCTAATCCAGTCCAGGTTGGTAATAAATGAACATATTCACCTGATAGTCACTTCTGGCTCTGTTTTTGGTATTTTTCAGGCTGGTTTCCAAGTGGAGATGTCACACCACAAAATCTCCCTCTGCGCCATGCCATTGTCAGCACTGATTTGACCATCTCAGTGAAGAAGCCAAGGATCGAATGATCCACAGTGCCAGACTTTTCTTTTTCAGCCTGCAGGTAAGGGGAAATTGTGAGGTGTTGTGCCTGTGCCATGGGCAGCATTTCAGTTTGCAAGGCTGCCAGTCCAATCCCCTCCACCAACGTGAAATTCATTCAAAAAAATTGGGAAATGTTTAATTGCAGTTGACATATAGGCACTCTCTGCTATGAACTTTACACACACAGATAACAGCATCAGAATTAATGCCTGCTTCCCACTTGTCCTGCTATAAGCAATAAACGTTTGGCAAGTCAGTAAATAACAAAATTCTCATGTGGCCATCTACAGGTCACCAGGATACTTAAGAAGTTTGCGTTAATTATACCATGTTTGCCATCAAAGGGGGGCTATTAACCCTTCAAGCTGCTTCAGGAAAGCGGTCGAGTTGTTTGGAAGCAAATGAAGTATTGCCACTAAAGAAGTGCAACCTTTGCAAAAAAAAATAAAAAATTTAAAAAAAAAAATTGAGGCAAAAACCTCACTAGACATCATGGAAAATAGGCTACCTTTTCAGCTTTCCTTTTATTTATTTTGTATTTTGACATCAAACACTCCCTGTAACCTAATCTTCTCGGCTTTTGATGTGGCTGTGGAGACATGACAATTAAGCACAGCTTAAAACAATAATCCCAACAACAGGAACCAAAGGCAAGTGATGTCAGGGTTCCCTCCTCACAACAAGCCTGTCCCCTAGTATTTGGCAGTAGTGAAAGGACCATCAGTCCCAATTTGTTGTCTCTGTACCAGCTCTGTGCTTCCACTTTGTGTTGAACTTTACATGCTTGCTCCATTTCCATTCCCTGCTGTTTGTTTTCCTTCTGCTTTGCAAAATGTCTGGAGACAAACACGACATATACGTTGCAGAGGGGTGGTTTGATCTTTTGCTGCTTAGTGGCACCTAATGAATGTGGCACTGTTTGTTACCTGTGTTGCAGGAACCAGGTCCATCCCAGCATGGGAATGGAGCACGGCCCCAGTGCTGCCAGCAGATAGCAGAGACCCCATGAGATGCCTACAGAGAGGCAACACCGAGGTGAATCTTCATCAAAGCCTGGGCTTGGCTGTGTAATGTGCAACAAAAGCAAGTGGTTGGATTATTCTAAGGGTTTTTTTTTTTTTAATGATGTGGTTGGTGCTGCTCCTGTTCTCTCCTCCTGAGAGTGTGTCTGGCATTCAAATATGGAGCAAGGGTGGGTGACTTTGCTTATAACCCCATTTTAAACCCGTTTGAGGATGAACGTGTTTCTTCGTAAATGAAGCTTGCATGGTATGCCATAAATTGCTGTTTTTTTTTAATGGGTGTTTGCACTAAGCCTCGCTGAACAAGTTTAGAGAGATGATTAACTCGTCTGAAATGGCACAGGAAGGCCCTGTCCTGGCCGTGTGGGCTTTGTGCAGCACATCCAGAGCTGCTGTGGCCCTGTGTCATCTGCTTGCTAGCTGGGCCTGCAAACGGGGCCGAGGAGGAGGCTGCGCCGCTAAGAGGCAGTGATATGAAAGGTTGGAATTTGCACATGTTCACTGAAAAAGGAACTGGTGTTTTTTTTTCTTAATAAGCAAGGAGTTATCCCAGGCTGGCTTCCACAGAAGTGATCTGCAACTCCCAGGGGGTCGAAGGAGGAAACCCAAAGTTCATTAGCAGTTTTCTTGCAAACATTGTTTCAGTGGCAGCAGCACTCACCCCTGCGCATGGCAGGGACGCTCGCAGGGCTTTGTTTCGCTTTGTTCGGCCCCAAGAGTTCCTCGCGTGGGTCAGACCAGAGCATGTGATGAAAGCACCACAAGTGTTGGCCATGGGAAAGCTGTCCGGCGGTAAACCCTCATCCCCAGAGCACAGGCAGCAGAGGGGCTCCGGGCTGGCTGTCTCCCCTTGCTCCTTTCATGCCATGCATGACACCAAATGGTAAGAAACAGATTTCTGTGTTCGTGGTGTTGCCTGTCACACCGGAGTGGGAGCCTACAGCGAGCTGTGCCTGGTCTAACAAAGGCTCTGCCCTGAAACCCATTGGGATGCTTTTCCACATCTACAGTACGACTTTGCCAACTCAACCTTTCCTTGCTGAAAGCAGCCCGTGTGACAGAAAACTGGGCACGGGTCATTTCACAAAAAAGGTATTTTATTATTCTTAGCAATATTCACCTTGAAGGAATATGAGGAAAGCATACGCTTTTTACAGACAATATATAAACATGTTGTACATAATTAACAATAACTTAGTTCACTAATCCAAAAATAAGCAAAATAAAAAAATTAAAATAAAAACAGAAAATACTGCAGATTTTTTTTTTTTTTAATATGCTGATACAAGTACAAAATAATTTAAATCTCAACTGCCATTGTCTATGCTGCAGTGACCGACAATATATTGCACTTTGTCAACTGTATCAGTAATCCCTGTCTTCCACCCACGTCCCTTCCCCACCCCCTGCACAAATCCTACCGAAATTTGAGTCGGGTACAAATAATGTACAACTGTACCATTGTAAAAGGTAGAAAGTAAAAAGGATCCGATTCTTTTTTTCCCTCAGTAGATTAAGAAGGTTTGTGATTTCTCCCAACTGCTTTTGTTTTCCCGTTCGTTTCCACTTCTTTACAAAGTGCACCTATATGCCTACGCAGACCAGGAAAAGGATGCAAGCAGGATTTTCCATGTCTGCCTGGTTCTTAATTCATTACCAAATTTTCGAATTACATGGTTAGAAAAAGAAAATTAACATACATCTGTTTTTATTTGTTTTGTTGTGTTTTTTCTTTCTTTAAAGCAGGACTGTTGCAGTAAAGATACAATTGGCTTGATCCAAAATATTAAAAAAAAAAAAAAAAAAAAAAAAACAACCCCATCAATAACAAAAAAGTTAAAAGTTAAAAAAAAAAAAAGAAAGAAAGAAAGAAAGAAGCTTGTCACAGAGTTAAGCTTACATGGTTTACATTATCAAACCCCTCTGCTCATTGGGGCATTTTCATCAGAAGTATAGCTAAATATGTACACTGTATGTTATACTGGAGCTTGTGTTCACGAGAGGCATCAGATCATAACAATCAATAGAATACACTTCACATTGGCAATAGCTTTGTTTTCGATCATTTACGTACAACGTGGTTTAATAATGGGAGCTCTAAGGTTTTTTTTCTTTTTCTCTTTTTTTTCCTCTTTTCTTACAAAACGCACTACGGAAGGCGGCCGTACGGCGCTTTCCCTCATCTCATCAGCTGTCGCTGCGTCTGGGGTTTGACGGATGTGTGAAGCTCAAACTGATTGTCTCTCCCTTTCCCCTCTCCAGTGATCTCAACCTCATTTCTGCCCTTCCTCCCTGCGAAGTCCATGGGGGCTGGATGCCTGAGACAGCACGCGCTGCCTTGCTGCGTGCGGACCCGCTGCCGCGCTGCCCTAAGTTTACCCAAGGAGCTGAGCTGCATTTTTTTAAGCAACAGCTGCCAACACAACAGAACAAAATGCTTCAACTTCTGCAGTCTGTGAGTTGGATGGGTTTATGCCCTGCCATTTTTTTCTGTTGTTTTGCTGCATGTTAGCTGCAGCGATTTGGTATTTTAGCCCTCGCTAGTGCAGGACTGCCTTCCGGGAGCGTCTTCCCACCAGTTAGTCTGATGGAGCTGTCTGGTTCAAGGAATGATATGGTAGCTGGGAGGGGGGCTGTTGTGTGGGTTTTGTTGTTGTTGTTTTTTAAAATAAGTCATTCTTTTCCCTAACATGAAAGAAGAAATTGTGTCAAAAATAATCATCGTCTTGGGCGCTTTGAAATCCCATGCTGCGGCTACAGTTCTCGCTTTGCCCACCCTCTCTTTCTTCCCTTCCTAGGGGATATTTTGGTATGGAAGATAGATGGAGCAAATCCAGGAGGGCCACTGAATATTGTCCCTCCCCATATTTACGAAGGCAGATTTTCATACAGAGTAGTAGCCATTGCAACCAACAGCACAAAAACATGCACTCAGAGGGGTTGAGGCTTTTTGTGGAAAACAAGAGCAAAATAAATATGACTTTCTGTCTGATTTCATTTTAAAAATTAAGTTTTTATAAAGACATCCTTTTTTTTTTTTTTTTTTCTTTTTTTTTCTTCCCCCTCCCCAAACAGAGTCCACAATAGAAATCCAGCATGTGTGGCTTCCAGTGAGCCGATTCCATCCTGGGAGGCTGCTTATATCTCTTCACAATATTCACAGTAATAACAAAGAGAGAAAGGAAAGCCAGTTCCAGCCTCTTCTTTCTGCTTCTGCCACCTTTTGCTTTCTGCTAGACAACTGAATATCGACCGGGTGAGTTCTTCTTTTCCTTATACCTGAGGGGGCAAAGTGCATTACAGGCACCACTACACATTTCTGCAGAAGACCCATCTCTTGCAAGGTTTTAGTCCAGCATGAAGAGTTAAACCACACGGGAGCACAGATCCCCTTTTTTGCCATCCCTACATTCTCCTCTTGGCAGAACATTTTCTTACTTGGTGTCGTCTTAGGTAAAGCCCCATGTTCTCAATCTCTGGGTGGGTCTCTTGGTCGTCAGGTTTTATCCCATGGCTGTAACCATGCTGGATGGGTGCGGATGTCCAAATGAGATGCTGGAAGATGGGTGGATGGGGGTAGGTGTTGGTAGGATGTGTCCAGAGTGGCTGAAAGGTGGCAAATGCCCCATAGGTGCCATGTGACTAGCAAGGGCAGCAGCGCTGAAAGGAGACGATTTCTCTTGCATGCACTTGGACAGTTCCTCAAAACACTCGGAGCCTTTCTTGCTTTTCTTTGATTTGTTGGACATTTTCCTATTCCTGGTCTGAATTCCTTCCTTTTTCATGGTCAGAGGCCTGTTCACCTGCAAGAAATGAGAAAATCAGGCTCATGCCGACAAAATGACTTTATTGTGCAAAAATGAAAATATTTGGACAGCCCCCATGTGTTTTTCCTGGATGGAGACCTTTTTCTGGCCAAAAAAAAAAAAAGAAAAAAGAAAAAAAGAAAAAAAATGGTGTTTCTCTCTGCAGAACTTGTTTATATTGGTTTGTTTAATAAAACCACACACACAAAAAAACCCTAGACATGAAAAACAAATTGAACTGAATTTGGCAGCCGATGACTCTCTTTCCCGTAGGCTTGCCCTCAGTCATTCATTTCCTAAGAGAATGAGATCAAACCAGGAGGCACACGTTGACCTAAATTCAGACCTAAGACGTGAGCAACCCAAGACCAATAACCTCAGTTACCTGTAGTCTAAATAACTGTACAACAGGACAAGTGATTCCTGCTTGGAACAAATTTCTTTTTAAACAAATGACAGTAACACAAAGCCTTAGATGCATTATTATTTTGAAATCAAAACGAAGATGCTCCATTGGGATCAATTCTTGCACACAGCCCATTTCCAATGGCCAAAAGATGCACAAAACTCGCTTAGTTAAAACCAAGTGTCATGCTCAATTCTGCCTGCTTTGCCCAAGCGTTAGAAGCCAAGCTCATACATTGTAATGTCACCGAACTTAGCATCACTATGCCGACAAAGAATGGCTGTCACTCCCCAGGGGAACCTTAGAGATGAGGGAAGGGATAAAACAACAACCAAACCCCCCAAAACCAATAAAAGCCCAGTGTACAGCGCGCAGTTAAGACATCAATCCCCGCGACACATGAGATGAGCAAATACTCACATTGTGCAGTTTATAGTAGAGTCCGCAGGCATTACAAACCGGGTCCCCGTTGGCGTTGCGTCGCCATAAGGTCGTGGTGGTTGTCTGACAGTTGGCACAACACGTCCCTGCTCTCCTGGCCGCTGACTAACCAAAAGAGAGAGAAAATTAAAAATCTATCAGCAGGAGGGGGGGGGGGGATCATGAGAAAGGTCAACTTGGGCTCGATATTTAGGTTGGGCAGATCTATACTGAGGTTTTGCAGAGCGTTGGGGCTGAACGAAAGCTCCTGTCAGTTTCGCATGCTGTGGCCGTTGGGTTTTTGTTTAATGCACGTATTCTCCTATGCAGGCTGCAGCACTGAGCCCCATGGCACCATGTGTGCAGAGGAAACAATGCGTCTCTTCAACTCCCCGAACAAAAAATTTTAGGAGGGGGAAATCGATGTTTGATTTGCTCAAGGTTTCCCTTTGCAGGATTCTAGAATGTCTCAGGAAAATTATTTTTCTTTCTCCCCCCCCCCCTCCCCTTTTTCTTAAGTGACCAACCTAAGTCAGTGCCAGTGTAGGGTTTGAAAAAAGGTAATGATCTTAAAGAATGTGATTTTTTTTTTTTCTCTTCACCTCCTCTGTCCCTTTAAAGATGTCCACAAAAGAAAACCAACCGCATTGCTTAGCTGGGTGCAGTATTTATCAGAGCCATCACTGAAAATTCAGTTTCCATTTACAAGTGAAAGGGAGAAAACAAAACTGGCTCCAACTTTCTTTAAATATTTAGCAAACCAAATTTCATGCCTCGCAGCAATGATTGCGCTGACCCAGCTGCCGCCTCTGTCCCTACTCCGTCTCTGGGCTGACAAGCCCTCAGCCAACCATCTTTAAAAAAATATAAAAGGATCATTTAAACAGCATTGTTCTGCCGAAACCAGGGCGGAGGGGGGGCAAAAATATCCCAAACATTCACCCACCTCCCAGAACAAGAGCAGGAAGAGCGGAACAGCAGGCAGCGGGTGATTTCTGCCCTTCTCTAGCAGGCCCTACGACAACACGCTGCTCGTTGGATGGAAGCGCTGTCAGTGGCACCCCAAATTCTGGGAAATAATTTTGTATAAGAAAGCTGCAGCTCTGCTTCCGGAAGCAGGCAGAACACAATTCAATTTGTGCGATTGGATTAAAGGAGAGGACTCGATATTTTCTTAAATTAGTGCAGTTTGCTTACTAACGCACATAAATGGCGTTAATTTCCCCAGGGCCTTGCTCTCTAGGTATTTCTGCAATTAGCCACCAGAACCACGCGGTGAAGCGGCAGCGAGGTTTGCTTTAAGCACTGAGCACCTCTGCGAGCCGACGGCGATGTCCCAGCGTTTGGCCTTTCTGTATGAGAGCGCTGAGCACTGACCGACCCGGCTCGCAGAAGGGCAGCGCTGGGTTTGTAGGCACTCACTGATTTTACACTCCGGCTATGTAACTTTCCCAAAGTGGTGGACGGCTTAGCAGCTTAAAGCAGGAATCAGCCCTCTGGGACTTGTATATTTCAGCCCCCGCTCGCTTGTGAGAACAGGCCGAAGGCAAAGAGAAGGGGTACCCCCTACTGCAAGTACGCTCATGCAACCCAAACACAATTAATGCCAGACCTCCGAGCACTGACATTAATGATGGCTTTGCTATTGCATGTCAGATGAACGCATTCCCAAAGATGGCCATCTCTCCTCTGCAAACAAGCAAACTACAGTGGAAAAAGGGGCAATAAACAAAGCTGTAAATCAATTAAAACAACAACAACAAACAACCAAACGAAGAGAAAAGCTCTCTGTCTGCTTGCAGTGGGGTAAGTACAGAAAAAGAAGTGCAACCCTCTCCCAGCACAGGGGAAGGTGGAGTGCTGTGTTTGTGGCCGGGACGCGGCTCACTGATACTGCTGGGCTCTACGGCCTGTCCCATTCAGACTGCAAAGTACTTGAGCCTGGGAGTCGATAATGTTACACTGTTGTCTTAACATTTTTCTGTGTGTCAGTCACTAAGCAGCCTGCATAGCTGAAATTCTGACTCACGACAAATCTTCTGCATCTCATCCCAGCGTCAGAGCAGCGGTGCCAATTTTCTGCTCTCCAAACCTCATTGAAACGTGCCCACGAGTAGCTGAGGGACTTAGGCACCATAAATCACAAAGCTCCAAAAAAATATATTTATTATTCTTAGCATTTTACGCCTTATTTGTGGAATAGAGTGTATTAGAAATTTCAAAACAGCGAGCATGACTGGCAAGGCTCGCCTATAGAAACTCTCTAAAGCTTTTAGAGTCAGGAAACAGATACACAAAGTTTCCTTATCTTTAACGTACAGATATCCGGATAGGAAACTACTACCAGGAGCTCAGAAAGGACATTTTTTTTAAATGGCTCAAATGAAAATACAAAGTATAGGTGACTCCATGGAAAAATAATAGGATTTTTTTTTTTTTTTTTTTAAACAGTAGGGGATTGTCTGGGGAGGGAACCAATATTAGTATTGCCAGAGAATATAAGAGTGAAAATTACTTCATGGCTTTCATACAAATAATTATGAAGTAGGGAGCAGTAGCTTTGACTCATCTGATTTGTTTTGCTTTTTGGAGCTGGAACTTTTCTTTCTTTTTTTTTTTTTTTAAGCACACGGTGGAGAACATTCACGCTCATAACCCTTTCGCTCCCAAAACGTCCCAAGAGGCCAAATGAATGAGGAATTAAATTAAAAGCTGTCATCTGAGGATAAACGGGGAGACGGATACCCGATCTCCCGCTGGCCTGGCCGCGCAGAAGCTCGGCTGGGGGCTCAGGGCACGTTGGGGGGGTGGGAGGGATCTGCCCCCAGGCATGGCCTGACCCTGCTGTGACTATGGGGCCGAGCACGGTAGGACGCATCAGGCTCGTGCCTGCGTGTGGTCCCTTTGCCACATGTATCCCCCAACCCAAGGAAAGTCAAAGACACCTACCAGCCTTCGTTTGGGTTTAATGAGAGGTCGGTTTTGACCGTTCATTTTGTGGTAGAGCCCGCAGGCGTTACACAGGTAATGCCCGGTGCCGTCTCTTCTCCAGAGAGGGGTAGCGGTTGCTCCACAGTTCACACACTCTCTGCCTTCTAAATGGAAACACGAAGAAACCGGATTTCTTTCTTTAAAAACAAATTCACAAAAGCTTTTTGCATTGTCCTTTAGGCGTTTTCCAAAAGTCAAAACCGCGTTAGCTCAAGCAGGGGCAGACAGCAGGGGCGCGCAGCGCATGCAGCGGGGACCTCGAGAGCACCGCCAGTAGTGCGTGCCACCAGCAGGGATCAGCTCCTGCTCCCCGTGGGGAGGGAAGGACTGAGCCGGTGTTGGTGCTGGGAAAACAAGAGCTCCCTCCCGCACCCACAGCACTGCGGTGCTCGGGCTGTGCCTTCTGCCATGCACACACACACACACACCTGTGAACACACAAGACGTAAAACAAACAACAACAACAAAAGATAAAAAGGAACCAAAGAAATGGGTTTCCTAGAATTAAATCTAAGCAGAAAGACCTCCTCTTCTGGGCTTGCTCTGTTTGCTGCAAACACTACCAGGCAGGAAAGCAAAGCTGAGCAGGTTGGGAATAGACACGGCGTGCCAAAGGCTCGGTTATGAATTTTGTTCCAAAGGCACAATACTGATCTTTCAGAAACTTCAGTTCCAGCACTGACACTGGGAATTATTGTAAAAAAGTCCTTTTCTGTCTTTTTTTCCCCCTAGATGTAGTGCGGAGCAGCTACCCATGTTACTGCTTTGTGCTTCAGCACAACATGGGAACCACGGCATGGCAGAGCGGCCCTACAGAAACCCAGCATGCAGCTCCTACGTGTGTCTGTGCCTCAGAGAACTCTCTGCTAGAAGTTCATTCGCCTCCGACGGTTCGAGGGCAGGTCTGCTTAATATAGAAATCTCTTCATATAGTGTATGCAAATCCTACAGCGTTTAAGCGGAGAGGAAATTCTCCTTTTGCTAATAACTGCAGCAGGCCACGCCGAGTTCAGCGGGGTTGTGCCTCCTTTAATCTAGGGAGTGGGTGGCTTTTAAACAACACGGTGAAAAATGAGGGGAGCTCTCAGTGCTGCGCTTGGAGCTTTTGTCCCTCCTTGGGCAGGAAGCTGCCGGAGTCGCCGTGTCGTGAGCCTGAGCTTTCCTACAAAAACACCGGGTGGTCACGAACTTTCCCCAGTTCCCCCCAGCACGGGGGGCTCCCTTGCAGGAAAAAAAGGAAAAACAAACAACGGAGCCCCAGGCTTCCCCCATTTAATAAAGCTGCCGGTGACCACAGGATAAAATAAAAAGCTCCTCGAGATCCGGTTATCTTCAGAGATGGGGGCCTTGGGTCTGTTTGTAAGTCAGGGGCTCAGGCTGCTAATTGCATCTTCTTACTGCGCTGTGCACCGCTAAAAGAATGCATGCATGTAGCAGCAACTGCATTTAAGTAGTGACTGTGGTGTTCCCTTCAGAGGGGCCGTTTGAATTGGAGCTGGTGAGGCTGTGAAGTGTCTGATGCTTTTGTTGCAAAACTCGTAAAGGAGCACGTTTCTGAATTGCTTTAAAAATAATTGCATGTGGTGTATTCAATGATATTTAAGAACACACACACAACAGCTTACACGGTTGCTAATTTTCAAGGGCTATCTTAATTCAGTACCAGTACACCGTATTGAAATACATCGTACATCTTTTCCTTCTGATGGCTGATTTTAAAGCAGGAAGGTCAGAGTTACAGAAATGTCCATAATTCTATGCCTGGTTGTACAACTGGGGTCATTTCAAAGCGCAATCAGCATTTCAACCGTCGCAGTTTGCTGATTTGGAACTGCACTGCCAGGTAGAAATGCGAGGCAGATCTGTGGAAAGCTCTGCACTACGGAGCAGAGATGTGTGGATCAGAAAGAAGCAGTGTTTTCTGGTCGGGCTGCAGTAAGTTAGCGATGACTGGACACCTTAGTCTTTAGCACTGGTATGTAAACTATATTTGAACTTTTGCTCCTTTAAATGTGAAGGAAATAGGGCCGGCATGGAGCGGCCGGGGAAGTTTCGCTTTCACCCTGCGCTGGGGCCTTCTCTCTTATTGAAGAGGAGACGTGAAAAATTATCAAAGGGGAAACAACTCTGAGCAGAAAGTCCCCACGTGGAACTGGGGGGGGGTGGGGGGTTAACCACTTCGGGAGAACGTGAGCCCTCGGGGGCCACAGCCTGCCGGGGGCTGTTTGACATTCTTCCCCATATAAATCCTTCTTTGTAGTGCGATCTGCTGCGCCGCTCACTCCGCGCTCACTCCTGTCCCTCGGCCCCATCCGAGTGCCCCAGGGCTCAGCAGCCGCTGCCAGCACGATGGCACCAGGGAAGCCTGGTACAAGCTCCATTTAAAAATGCAGCACGGTGAGGCCAAGCAGTCACCTGCCCTTCTGTCCCAAAGAGAGCTAGCACAAACCCCGGCACTACAGCCGCCTACGGCTTCAACTGTATACTGCAAGCACAGCCAACCACGACACGCACACATGCAGCACAACGGCCCTAAATTTAGTCCTCCCACCCAAGGGATAGCATCAATGCATGGCAGGGGTGCTCCGCTTACCCGAACAGGATCTGGCCTTGCTTCGTGGCTTGGGGGTGAAGCTGGACGCCGGGCCCCCTAGGAAGCTTCCCGGGTGGAAGAGGCTGCTGCTGTAATCGTGGGCAGCCGGCACGTAGGAGGGGTATGTGGGGATGGGGTGGTGAGTGGAGGGCTGGGCCCCCATGCTGGTGAGGCTGCTGCGGAGCGGGCTGGCGCTCTCCATCTTCATCCCTTCTGACAGCGACACTTGGTATTTGATGCTGTCTTTGTCCTCCTGTCGGGCCCCAGCAGAGGACGAAGGGGAAGCAGCGCTGGTGGAGTTGGGGTCCGGAGACACTTCCTTGGGAGGGGTCGGGGGGAAACCGAAGAGGTGGGAGCCCGAGTGAGAGGCCGGGGTGAGCGACGAGACGGAGGCGGTGCTGGACGTGCTGCTGCCGGGGTACACTGAGATGGCCCCGGGTGCTCCGGCTGCCGAGGGGTGCAGGGGGGTCTTGGTGAAGGGGTTGACGGTCCAGGGGTTGTGGTGATGGGCAGAGAGTGCCGCCTTACTGCTGTCCAGCCAAGGGATCCCGGGGCTGTGGATAAGATGAGGCCGGCACATTTGACTCCCGGTCAGGCGGGCTGTAGGGACACAAGAGCGTCAGGGATCAGTGAAACATCCCAACTCGCGGCCCAGAGAGCTGCAGGGGAGCCAGAGCGGGGAGAGATTTCCCAGCACAGAGAGCAGCACCCACAGTCTGCAAACAGCCCCTTATCTGCATGCCCTCCGAGGGAGACCCCAACCACCCGGGGAAAACTCGGAGAAATAGAGCCAGCCGGGGAAGAAGCAAAGGACCCCCCCCCCGTTTCCACCCCACCCCACTCTACAGCAAGCAGCAAACCCCCTTCTGTGCTGTCTTCCGAGCTGCCACAGCGCTCTCTCTTCAGATCCTACAAACACCCCAGGTAAAATCCATTGCCGATTCGAATCTGTTCGTATTTTGCATCCGGGAAGCAGCCGTGTCTGAGAAGTTTGAGCCTCCGCACACACTATTTCCCCTTCCTTTCTCACCCTCCCCTTCTTTCCCTCCTCTCCGCCAATGCCCGGTCATCGCTAGGGTTAAAATTTACCCGTGCCTCCCTTTCTGTTCTATTTCCTTCCATCGCCTTTCCCCCCTGGCCCCGACACACCGGAGCGGCCGCAAGAACATCTCCCCACCCACACGTCGGAACGGGCAGAGCTGGGGAAGGGGCCGAGGAGCGGGATGCTCATTTACCGTGTGCCTGGCTGTAAGAGACCCGGGCCCGGGCATGGGCAGAGTTGGCGTAGTAAGGGTTGCCCTGGGAATCCAGGTGGTTGAAGAAGACGTCGACTTCGTCTGGAGGTAGGAGCTGCGCTGGTTCCATGTAGTTGTGAGCCAGTCCCGGGTGGTGGCTCTCGGGGTGCTGCCCGTTGAGCACGGCGTGGTGGGTCATCCAGCGAGGCTGGTCCGTGGCCACCTCCATGGCCTCGGGCCTCCCCTCCCGCCCACCCGCGGGGCAGCGGCGAGCGGCGGTCGGGGTCGGCAGGCGGAGGTACCGGGGGTGTTTAGCAGACGGGCGATTGTTTAGGAGAAAGCCGTCGGGTGTCCGAAGATCGCCCTCGGGAGGATGCAGGGTGGGCCCCGGAGTCAACGCGTCCCTCTGTCCGCGGGCGGATGGCGGGGCAGCACCTGTAAGAGATACGGGGTGAGCGGGTCCCCCCTAAATGTATAGGGAGGTGGCGGCCGAGCCCCTCCCCCTTCCTAAAATATCTGCTCCCCCGACTCCTCACCCTGCGCCCTCCCGTCACTAAATAAACAGATCTCATTTCGAACTTTAAAAAAAAAAAAAAAAAAATCCAAAAGCTTCCTTTCCCCCCTCCCTCCCCCCCCAGCCCTCTCGCTACAAACGTCAACAGGAGTTTTTCCAGCTGGCTTCAAAAGGGGAGAGGGGGAAGGAAGGACGGCAGATCCCATAGAGTCCCAGCGAGAACTTGGGCTGACACAAAAGGAAAACGAGGGACGGAGGAGAAAAGGATCGGGGACAGAAGGGTGGGAGGAGGGGGAAAGCGGCGATGCCCCCCCGCGCCTCACACTTACCCGGGGCGGGAGGCAGAGAGGCGGCGGGTGCCCGCTCGGAGGCTGCGGGAGAGAGGAGAACGAGAGGGAGAGAGAAGGGGGGAAAAGCCGAGCGAGCGCGGGAGGAGGAGAGCGGGAGGTTGGATGGAGGGTGTTACTCAGATGGCAAAGCCGCGGCTCTGGCCGGCTCGGTCCCATCCCCGCGCATCCTATATGAGCGCTGGCGCCAGCTGGCCGCGGCGCCGCAGACGGGCCGGGGCGCGCAGGGCCGGCGGCCGGGCCAGCCAATCCCGCCGCCCCACACCGCCCCCAACCGCACCCCCGGCCCCAAACGGAGCCGGCCCGGGGGGGCGCGGCGCGGACCCCCTCCTCCGCCCCCTGCCCCCGCCCGCAGCATCCTCGCCCAGCAGCGCCGTGGGGGCTTTCCCCACCCGGGCTCTGCACGCCCCTGTGGGGCGGGGACGGCGGAATAGGGGGGTCCCGGCTGGGTGCGTGGGGATGGGGGGGGGATCGGGGCGGGAAGGGTTCGGCGCCGGGGGCGGCTCCGTCAGGGGTGCCCGGGCGCGGAGATGCGCTGCCGCCGGGATGCGTGGGGCCGGGGATGGAGGCCGGCACCGGGGAGATGGAGGCGGCACGGCTTCCCCCCCCCCTCGAACGGGGCACAGCGGGACGGATCCCAGCGCGGTCGCTGATGGCATCACGTTAGTTGGAAAACGGCAAAAAGAAACAAACGCGAGGCTCCACTTCGAGCGGGCACGGCCGGATCCCGTCCGCAGCGCTCGGCCGGGCTCGGGGCAGGGCAGCGCTCCCGGGAGCGGTCCGCGTCGTGTCCCTCCCGGTGGGGCTGCGGCGCCGCAGCTCTGCCTTTTATTTTCCTTCCCCCCTCGGTTCTTTAAACGGTTTCATTATTCGCAGTCACCCCCGCGCTTCGGGCCGTGCGTGCCCAGGAGCTGCCCCGCACGGCGGGAGTGCCGCGGCCGCAGCGGGGCTCAGCTCCGAGTCTTCCCGAAAAGCGCCTCGGGACCCATCCGCTTTTGGGGCAGGAAAGGAAAACAAAACAGAACAAAACCAACACAAGACCAAAACCGACGCAGGGAAAGTCGCAGCCAGACGCCCGCCGCGCTATCGGAGCTGCCGCAGGTCCCGATGCACAGACGCTGCCTTCCCGTTCCTCAAACCTCTGCTTTCGGAGGAAAAGGGAAACGAGCGCTGAAGTCTCCGAGCGAGGAAATCGTGGAGCAAAGCCCGCCGGGCAACGGCAGCGGCTCCGACCCGACGGCGCGGCCGACCCGGGGTGCCTGGAGGAGGCGGCGAGGGGAGCACGGCTCGAACCCCCCCGGGCAGCGCTGGGAGCCGCGACCCCCCCCGGCCCGACCGCCCCAGTCACTACGACGCCGGGGCTCTGACGTCACCGCCACTGCCAAATTCGCCAGGAAATGAACTTGCTTTTAAAAAATAATAACAATAATAATAATAATAACGACGGTAATAATAATAAAAACCTCCCTTTCCTCTCTGCGCTGCTCGAGCGAAGCGGGGCTCCCTCGCTCCTGCCCGCTCCCCACCCGCTGTCCCCTACGAGAGGCCCCGGGAGGGGCTGTGGAGCACCCCCATCCCCGCAGCCCTTCCTCTGCCGCCTCCCGGACCCAAACCGGGCTCGGGGGGCCCCAGGCCGGGCAGGACGGGAGCGGCCCACTGGATGGGAGGCGGTAGAGGCTGGAGAGGGCAAAGTGCCCCCGTGCCCGGGGCGCCTGGGGCCGGAGCTGCCAGGGAGGAGGAAAGGGAAACAAAGCGAGGGGAAAATAAAGAAGAAAAAAAAAAAAAAAAAAAAAAAGAAGGAAGAAAAAAAAAAAAAAAAAAAAAAGGAAAGTTAAAAGGCAGAGCGAGAACAGAGGAGCTTTCTAAAAATCCGGCTTCTCCTTCTACGGCTGAAGGTATTTTCTTTCCACGGACAGAAATAACTCTACCAAAACCAGATAGATATCCCCAAACCGAGACTTTCCTTCTGTTATTATGACTATTTTCTAAAAAGGGCGAGTAGGAACCAAAGCGGCCGCTCGCAGGTAGGTCTCTGTTCGCAGTACAGCCGGGCCGGGTGCAGGCATCCCCCTGCCCGAGAAGGGCCGCAGCCCCCGGCCGTGCCCAGCGCTCCGATGATGATTACTACAGATGTTTTAATTATTGCTCGGCTGCCATCGGCACGAGGCCGAGTTTTGCGGGTTTTCTTTTCTTTTTCTTTTCCTTTTTTTTTTTTTTTTTTTTTGGGGGGGGGGGGGGGGGCAGGGGGGGGGCTGTTTGTTTTACGCAGGTGATAAAATCGCAGTTAACGAGCTGATAATTCGTTCGTGTTTGTTTTAAAAGACAAATTGTAAAGATTAATCAGGCGGCTTGATTTATGGCGACGCAGACCCCGGAGCTGCCCGCCTAGGGCTCTCTCCCCGAAGCCCCCGGCTCGGGTTACCCCGGGGCCGGAGGGAGAAGCACAACAAAAGGGCCGAACGGGCTCCGGCTCCGGACGCTCTGCCCCGAGCCCGGCCCCGCCCGGGGGGTCCCGCTGTCCCGGCGCCTCCCGGAGCGCCCAAAGCCCCGCATCCCCCTCCCTGAACCCCCCGCAAAACGAACGAGCGCTCCGGCGGGGAGAAGCCGGATTTCAACTCCACAGAACAGGGTTCCTCAATAGTGAGGATTCCTACCGAGCATTCCTTGGAGCATTTTTCATTTTTTTATGCTTTATTTTATTTTTTCTTTTTCCCTCCTATCTCGCATCCCCGATGCCGGTGACCGAGCTGCGGGTCCGAGGCTGGAAACGGAACGGATAAATGAGTTTCCCCCGGGGAGCGCCGCGCAGGGCAATGCGGGCAGCCGGCTGCGCTCCGCTCCGCAGCCCCTTCCGCGGGCAGCCGAGCCCCGCAGCTCCCGCTCTCTCCCCATTCTCCTTCTTTTCCCTTTTCTCCTGTTTTTTTTTTTTTTTTTTTTTTTTTTTCTTTCTCTCTCTTTTTTTTTTTTAACTGATATCCGGCCTCACTTTTATCAACTTTATTTTCTTATTGCCGTCCCATTATTATTATTTCTTGTAATAAGGGAGATTTCCCAGCGCTGGCTGCACAACTGGTCCTCTGGATGTGATTGACAAGTGATGTCACATCGCTCCGGGGGGGGGGCAGACGGCGCCGTGTTTTAGCAACAGTTAGCGATGGAGCTGACACCTCTGCCCGGGCAGACGCGAAGCCAGAAAACAAATATCGCAGTATTTATTTACATGCCCGGACTGGGGCTCTTTCCTCCTCTCTCCCCCTCACCCCCCCATTTTATCTTTTCTGAGGGGTGGGGCGGGGTGGAGGATTATTCTCTTTCCGCCTCTTTTTTTTTTCTTTCTTGCTTTTTTAATTTTTCGGTATTTTTTTCCCTCTGCTTTTCTTTTTTATCTCTGTGGGGGGGGGGGGGCCCGCCCTTCACCCCCGTCCCGTGTGCATTACCAGCACATATTAATGGCTGCTAATAGGGTTATAAAATGACACAGTTACCTCTTAACCACAAGACACGATTTAGGCAGCATTAAAAAAAACAACAACAACAAAAAGCAAAAAACAAACACGGCTCGGGGAATAAACCACGAAATAACCTCTTTTGCTTTTTTCTCGCCCCCTTTTTTCCCCCCTGAATCTCACAGAAGCCACCTTGCTGTCCCTCTCACCTCCCCCGCCAACCCCACAAAGGTTTGTCCTCCAGCGTGGGAACCTCGGGTCCCCCCGTGCCCCTCCACGGCCGCGCACAACTTCACCTCCTCTCTGCCCTCACTTTCCCCTCACTTTGCCCACGGATAAAGAGCACAAACCCCACCGCCCTCCCCCCGTCACCGCCTTTTGTGCACGTTCCCAAAGCAGAACGCGGGCGGGGGGCTTCACGCGGACACGTTCATCCGGAGAAAGGTATACCAAAAAAATTCAGCCGCTGCCTCGAAAGATTTCGTTCTCAGGAGCCAGCTGGATTTCTTTTTTTTTTTTCCCTTTTTCCCTTTTTTTTTTTTCCTTTTTAAGGTGATTTCGGCCTCTGCCGCCGCAGGAGGTGCCCCGCAGGTCGCACTGCTTTCCCCGCAGCGCAGCGGGTCTGGCACCGCCTGCGGAGCGGCCGAACCGGGCTGACACTTCCGACAGTTTTTTTCTTCCTTTTTTTTTTTTTTTCCCTTTCTTTCTTTCTTTCTTTCTTTCTTTTTTTTTTAATTGCTTTTAATTCATAAAGATGCTCTCGGGGAGAACGATCCCCGGACAGAGAACCCCGCACCTCCCTGATGGAAATCGCTTTTCTTATTGAAATCGCCTCAAATCCACGCTCCTGTTGGCTATACCTTTTTTTTTTTTTCCCCTATTGCCTTCCAGCCTCGGCACCCCAAAGCAAAAGGCGGATAAAGAGGGGGACTTTGCACATGCACCAAAAAAAAAAAAAAAAAAAGAGAGAGAGAGAGCGGTGGAAGAGCAGCAGAGAGGAGCGGGCCGTGCTGGGGTAATTCTAAATCATGCAAAGCCCCATAAAGCTGCCGCACGGGACTGGGCCGGGCGGCTCCCGGCGGGCAGGTGCTCTCTCCGGGCAGAACAAACCCCGCATCTTTGTGTTTGCTGTCCAAATCTGCCAACAATGGGAGCGGGGAGATATAGGATGCGGGGAGGGGGCGAGGGGTTCCGCACACACACACACACACACACACACACCCTTTGCTCCGGGAAAGTGGCTGCCCTGGGTGAAATGCAAACTTTCAAAGATGGAGATTTAAATAATTAGCGCGGTGATAATAAGAAAAGCTGGGGGGGGGGGGGGAGAAAAAGGGAAAAGAAAAGCGAACGAGGGCGGCCCCGCTCCCCACAGGGTGCCGAGGAGAGGAAAAAAAAAAAAAAAAAAAAAAAAAAGAAAAAGAAAAAGGAAAAAAAAAGGAAAAGAAAAGCGAACGAGGGCGGCCCCGCTCCCCGCAGGGCACCGCCGGGCAGAGCAGCACAGCCCCGCGGCTCTGCGGTGCCTCCAGCCGGGGCTGCGGGAGGAGGAGGCCGGGGAGGGACGCGGGGATTTTTTCGTTCTTTACCAAACCGCCCCGCTCTGTTCCCCGGGGAAAACCGCCCCGGGCGGAGGGACGCGGATCGCTGCGGAGCCGCACGCCCTTACCTTGCCTGCCTCCCGCCGCGGATCGCCGCCCGCTGCCTGCGGAGCGCCCGCTCTCCCCTTCGGGCTGGGGAGGGGGCTCCGGCCGC